AAAGCCAATAGACCTGCTTAGCACAGAAGCCTTCAGAATGGTATCAAACCTTTTTGTCACATATTTCCTCGAATTAATTTATTTTGCTCCGCAAAAATGTTGGGTGGGGGGTGGTTCGGGGCCCAATAGCCACCATGTTTCACCGGCCTAATGGGATAAGTATATTCTTCCATTTACATGAATATTTCAGGCCAGTTATTGTATGGCCCAATTGACCAAAAACTGACAACCAACAAAACTTCTCATGAGCCCTAGCTTCGTAGACCTTTACATGTATCGCAAGTTTCCTTTATTTGTTATTAGCTTTCCAATGTTCTACAATGGATACACAAAGCACAAATCTTGTTCCAGAGTAACCAATTGCTATTTTAAAAGATTGATGCAAGATTTTTATTGCAAAGTGTTATTTCACAGGTGTCCCTTTCAAGTCGGTCAAATTTTCTGACTTGGTTTCATCTTTTTCTAGATAATTAGGGTTTTGAAAGGGCGCGGAGACCAGGCAGAGAAAAGCTCTAAAAGTCGTTCAGCCGGAGGTTCATCTGACGGCACAATACATCTGGCACATGAAAACGAGACCCTTAAGGTAATTCTGTTTCATACTCTTTGGTTTTTATAGGGTGTGTAACTTTATAGGGCATAGTTCTAGGTTATTTGATTGCTTTCTGACTATTTAAGGCTTCTTAAGCTAAGCTATTTCAAAGCTTGTTAAGCTAAGCTAACAAGTAATATATCTTTTTCAGGAGTCCATAGCCCCGGAAAACATCCCCCTCCCAACTCGATCTATAAACGAAACCACAATTCTATAATGGTTTTATATTCTATTAGGCTGAAATTACGCGATTGTATGCCCAGCTTGAGACAATGAAACTGGCAAAAATGGAGGCCGGCAATCGACCGATGCGCCGGGCAGATTCACTAGCGTCCGGAATATCTGCATCGACAACTTCGCTGCGAAGTGCAAGTCAAGGACTTTCTTCCCCTGCAAGTCCAAAGTTATTGACAAATGGGTGGAAGAGCGGTGGACTCCAGTTTTTCTCGCCTGCTGCAGAGCTGGTTAGCGACTTTGTGTAGTTTCATTAAATTGACTGTACATTAAATCAGTTCTTAGTAATAGGGAGGGTAGAAAATGTGTTATGCCCCATAATGTTTTGAAGGTACAATCGTCAATAAATGACACGCGATTGGCAGCTTCTAAATGAATCAAATGTTTCAACAACCTCGTCTTTAAAGTAATTTCTTGATACAAAATACAATATCATGTAGCCTGGAGTTCGCTATTAAAGACTGCGCAAAGCCTAATCACATGACTTCGTATGACCAGTGAGGTGTAAAAAGTGAGATGTAATATTGTTGCATGTAGATCACCTGATTAAGACTTGTTTCCTTTCAAGTACAACAGATCAAATATACAGAACAATTAAATTATACAATAAAATCCATTCGCTGTTGCCTTAGGTGGTCGTGATTTTGTAATGTAAATAAAGAAAACACGCTTTACCAGTGACGAAAGTCAAATCTCCTCTTGTTAATGGCTCATTGCACAAATATGTATCAATAGCTTCACGTTTAAAGTTCGTTTGTTTATTGTCACATTTTTTAAAAATAAATCATCCGACTTTTGTTATCAATATCATTCCCATTTTGATATTGCAAGCCACATCTATCGTAAATAGCTTTTTTGCTGTAATTAAATTTAGTATGAGCTGTAATTATTCTTTATCAATTAATTTTTTTCTAGTTTATATTTAAGATGGAATACATTATGATGTAAAGTTATATATATTTACAGTAAATGTGATGTGAATGAATGTTGAATGAATCCATGTTGTCTTTCCTTTGGTTATTTTATGTATAAGATCCCAAAAGTTAGACTTTTACTGATCAACAACAAACACAATTATTTGCCTAAGAATCGGAGCGCTAAATGTTTTGTTATTATACCTGGGCGTTAAAGGGAGCTGAAAACCATTCAGGTATTCTAGAGAAAAATTAAAAAATCGTTCAAATAGGAACAACGCTTACCAACGAGGAATGAGTTGGAAAAGGTGCAAGCGATGCGAATGTGGAGAGTCAGAATCATAGCAGCTGACTGTACGATAATCTGGACTGAAACAAAACAAAACTGGGTAAAAATAGAAGGAAATGGAAAAAGACTTGAAGCAGATAAAAATAAACAACATCATCAAAATGTTCTGTGAAGATTTCCTTCCCTAATGAGCATGTAAAAAAGGCTAAGGCTTTAGCTTTCTTTTCCTTGAACACTTATTCACAACAAACTTTCTCAGTAATTCCAAGAAATGACGTTCCTGGTGATACTTTGTTCACAAATTACCGACAACCAAAATCATAATCTCAACTTTTAGCGACAAACGCAACATTTCCGACACACAGAACTTTAAAAAAATTTCTAAATGCAACAATAAAAACCCTTTCTTGCCTGTAGAAGACAGTAACTAATTGTTCTCGGTAAGAAATCTTCAAAATTAGTGTGTCAAACATGTCTACATTTCTATGAGCAAAAAGCCTGTAATGCAACTTAGACTTCCAGTTGCATCTTTTCTCCTTTTCTTGTTCAGTTTACAATAGCAGACATGTGCTGGAGCCCGATGAATGTGCTGGAGCTCTGAGGGCCCGATGAATAATTTTTTCCGATTTTGGAACTTTCATAAGTATCGTATAATTGCATTAGAAACAGTGAGTCCTAGGTGTAATGGCAAGAGAAGAGGGCCCCTACTAAACAATCCAAGTTGCCATTCCATAGCAAAATGAAGAAAAATTGCAACAGTTTTTGGAGGGCCCACCGGGCGATCGCCCGGTAGCCCGACTGGCCAGTCCGCCCCTGCATGCTACATGCTTTCTTTGTAACACCCGCTCACTAAACAGTCCTCATGATCCAACTTGTCGTTAGAATCCGCTCTTTTTTTCTGAGTTTCTTGCTCTCGTCTTTCAAACACTTTTCGTTGTTTGCAGTGTATTTTTAGTCATTCTTTACTCAAACAACATGGAAAACTTTTTCATGCGCCGGTAGTTGGAACATTTTCAAGAGTGGAGTAAATGAGAATCCGTGAATCATTTTCAAATGTCTTGACGACAGGTAGCACAAGGGTTACATCCAGGGCCGTCGAGAGACGGGCCGGGCCCCAGGGCTGGGACTGTCATGGGGCCCCACAGTCGAAGGCTACAAAAACCTTTTTTGGATTACGCCCTTAGCAATGCAGTTAGATGGACTGTAAAAGGCATGAATTTTGAAATCAACGCCCCTGAAACACTTGAATTTGTATTTTAAGGTCTTTAACAGAACATGTAATTAGTGACTATATAAAACAAATCATTAAAACAAATCAGTTTAAAAATCAGAGTTAATTAAATGTTTAAAAAACTGCTTTTCTTGCTTTCCTCATGGCGAAATCCTTAATCTTTTCCCACAATCTTTTCCAGCTGTCGTTCGCTCCCCAACCATCAGGAGAAGCCAATTTTGATTTTGAACCATTATTAATAGTGTGCATGGCAAACAATAGAGTGCAGCCTTTGTAGGACTGAAAACAAGCCAGCTTCTTCTTACTACCTCCCAATTTTGCTGCTTCACATTAAGGACCGTTGTTGGAAATTTGTGGCCGTCGCAATCTTTGGGAAACTCTGGAGGATGAGGCAAATGACCAGTTCTAACAACCTTTTCTAACTCCTTTATCGTTGTAAATCCGGTCAATGTGCCGACATCAAAACTAGATGTTCCACTATGAACAGTATCTTGATTTAATGACGAATCAGTAGTGCTTTCTCTACTTTCTGGGGTGTCATGGTCTACCGAAGCAGCCAAGCCGTTTGTGTCTTCTTCTTCTTCAGCGGTGCTTTGAACAGAGCTTTCACCAGGTTTATTTAAAGTTGAATCACCTTCCTTGTCTCTTTTGTAAGCACCTACCTCAAACAATGTGCGAGAGGCTTTCTTTGCTTCTTTTTCTCGCATCTTTTTTCCTGCTTTTTCTGAGCACCAGACTTGTGCCTGTAAGATGACATCGCAGGGGTTGGTTGGATCGTGATCCCGCTTAGTGATTTTGATAAAGACTTTTATAGCGTTTGGATTTGTCTTGGTTCTTCGCATGTGCTTTTTCTCTGGTGTACGCCGTGAATGGAAAATTTAGTTTTACGTTTATAGGAAGTCCACACAAGGAATAACCAAAACATTTGACCTAAAAGTAGATATATGTAAGTGCAATCGAATTTTTCGGCTTCCGGAGAAGTATATTGTGATCGTATCGTCAATGTTTTAATTATAAACTTTAACAAAAAAAGGTCCTCATCATAGACCAGCTTGTTGATCCCTTGTTGAAAGAATAAATTTCGAATATCAATCGGGTCATGGGCCCGCCCTGCCAATGCTGCTAATTGAAAACTCATAGCCAAAAATACATACCTTATTTTCTACGGGCCCCTCAAGGCCCCGGGCCCCCTGGTAACTACCCTGGTTACCCCCCCCCCCTCTCGACGGTCCTGGTTACATCGAAGAAGGAAAATATCAAAGAAGAGAAGAAATTGAACTATAGTCTATATTTTCTTCAATTCGTTTCTTTAATTCGCATGCTTCGTTACAGTACATTTTTCCATTCAGGGACCGCGCACCAGGCTAAATGTTGGAGGGCTGAAAAGGGCGTGACCGAAACTTTTTTGAGGCCGCGCCCTCTAGAACGCCGGAAATGTTCCCTTTTAGAAGATACTGGTTTATTTCTACTGGGGTTTTATAAACAATTTGGTTCAGGGAAGATATCAATGGTTTACTCTGATGAAGCCCTGATGAAGTTTACTCTGATGAAGCCCTGTATGCCGGGGCGAAATATTAGTATACTCTTTAAATTTAATTTATTTTGAAAATTTTATTTCGTAACATTGGATTCTCGTCGTCGTATTGCTTTGTTCCTGTATATCTTTATTTATTTATAGATCGCCAAAAGTAATCAATAAAAATCAATTTAAGAAATGGAATACGAGGCTAGTACCAGATCTCCTCCCCATCTCGCCCTCGCGTCGTCCTCTCTTAAATCTCGCTCACCATGGGTAAGTAGGACTAAATTTTCGATCTTAAAATCCACTAAAATCAATCCAAAATGATACAGAAATACCATCCTATTTCTATCATTATAGATATTCGTGTCTGTTTTATTGTATAGTTTGCCAATTTTCTAGCAATGGCGCATATAATGTCAGAAAAGGTGCTGTCTTGAAAGACAACAAATCCAATATGGCTTACTGTATAACTTTCTTGTCATTTATCATTGGTATATTAATAGTCAATGCTAGCCAACAGGGGAGTTCTCCCAAAATTCAGTCACTTTTAGCTGTAGATTTTATCCAAAATCAAGTGGATAATCATATATGTTTTATAATTGCTGTATGATACGTTATTCTAAGAACTTTCGTAACCTAGAATTATTTAGAGAAATGTGTATCGAGAATTGACACCCTGCTAGCTGAAATGCACGCTTGGTAAAGCAGTTTCTTTTACAATATATGATAAAGATACTACCACTGATTAAGTCAATTGGATATGGCCTAAATTTTTATGTACGTGTACTATTCTCCGAATTAAGGTATCTCCAGAGATAGCTGGCACAAAAGGCGGGCCACCGGTGGAAAGAAAAAGCCCCTTACAAAAAAGAGGAAGCACTGTCTTGGACGTCCACCAGCAAACACCAAAGTGAGTATTTGATTTATTTTTACAGTGATTAGAAATATATTGAATTTGTACCAGTAGTTACTTGAAATGGTTAAGTATAGCAACAACTTATAAACTTAACTTTTTAAAGAAGTAGAAACAGATAACACAGTCATTGATTAGTATTATCCTGTTGCATTATTGCAGTATCAGAGACTGGTGTGTTCCAAGGGTGGAATCCATGTAACTTATATTATCTGGTGTGGACTTCATAATTTCCTAGGTGTAGGGGCATAAAATGAAGACAAAATAATGTGTTGGCGTAGAGGTGGATTGGTTTGTGCCAGTTTGTAACTTCTAAACAGCTGCTGTTGGCTAAAAAGATGATTAGTAGTTTCTATTATGCATTGCACCATTCTAAATTTTGTGTTAGCATTAAGATTTAGAGCCTTTGGTGCAAGTTCATAATTTACTCACCAATATCCAGCATGAGGTGTACCTATTCTGATACCCCATGGATTCCACTCTGGGGTATTCAATGAACATTATATTATACTTGTACTGAAATCATAAGTTAGATCAAATCTTACTCAAAATAATAAGAAGAATAATTGCTCTAACGTTTACCAAAGATTCAAAACTTCAAAGCATTTAACAAAATTTTGTATCCCTAAAGATTTAATTTGAATTGCTATAATTCAATTGCATGTATCTTGAAACACTCCTTGATTAACTGTGCTAAGTGGGGAATGCTCCTTTGCTGTTTATAGTTGCCAAGACCTAAAGAATAACATTTGGCCCATAATAATTAAGTACCATGAATTTTATTGTAGCTTGGTGTTAAAAGAATCCACAAGGTTAGAGTCCGTGGTGGCAATCTTAAATACCGTGCTCTAAGGCTTGACATTGGAAACTTCTCTTGGGGCTCAGAAGGTAAGTTTGTTTTTACTATTCAACTTTGTTGTACTGCACATATCATGACAGGTTTAAATTTTTGCCTTTGCAATAAGAAAAAGATGTTGCTTTGTCAAGGCAGAATGATGAAATCTCTGATTGTTATGAAGATAGAATCTGTTGTTTTAACAGGAATATCTGAAATGATTATTTTATGTCATAGTTACTCTGACTGCCTGATAACCTAACACTTTGATATGTCTCATAATTTTTTGAAAGCTTCACTAGTTCTCATACCAGATAGAGATGTACATGCGCTTGTAAGGTCGCTCTAAGTTGATACTTGGAGTTTCTTGCTGAATTTAATCGCTGTAAAACAAGTGGTTTTTTCTTTGTTGTTTCATATATAAAAATGTTGTTGTATTTTATAGCGTTGAGCACTTGTTATGCTGCTGCAGATAGCAGTGAGATGCATCCATGCAAGCATGTTTGTATTCTTAATAATTCTCCATAGGACTCTCAAGAAAGTCAAGGATATTGGATGTTGTATACAATGCAAGCAACAATGAGTTGGTGAGGACAAAGACCCTCGTAAAAAATGCAATTATCCAAGTGGACTCAACCCCCTTCAAGCAATGGTGAGTAAATATCTAGGAGATGTAATACAATGTTCTTTGTTTTCTAAAGCCTTGAATACACTAGGCAATAAATGGATGTATTTAATTGACTATGGACAAAGTGCCTTATCTGAAGTTATAGCACAGCCCTTTTATAAAGAAAGTTTCACCAGGGCAGAGGTGGAAAAAATTTTCTTCTTTCTGGGAACCTAAGAATCTGGCTCAAAACTTTCTGCAAGATTTAGGGGGTAGACAAATAAACTTTCTGTTTGTGCCTATATCTCTATACTTGGTTGATGTATAAAAGAGGGCAAACTTAGTTTTAAGAAGTATGATACTTCTCATTTGAATGTTCAATCTGTTTTTATTTTGATGCTTAATTTGTTTTTTTTCTCTCGAAGTATTTCTATAGAAGGTTAAATCGAATGCATAAAATTATCAGGCAATCAACTTCTTAACATAATCAGTGTCATTTAACATCGGAGATCTTGACTATTGTTCCAAAACTGTCATTCTCAACATATTAGATATGCCTTTATTTAATGCATAAATCCACATAAGAAAGAAATCAACTTTAACTAGAAATTGATTCATTCAATCAATCATCATGATGGAAAATCAAAAGGAAAATCCATGCAAAAATCTCCAAACATAGTTTCAGAAGAGTTAGGGCAAAATCATTTGAATTGTATGGTGCAATTTATGGAGACGGCTTTGCCTAATCTTTTGACAAGTGAGAAGCAACATGTGGTTGAAATGGAGTCCTAGCATGCAACAAATTAATTTAACTAAGCATATTAACTTATGATCAATGCTGCTCACACCATGGTGTCAGAAATGTTTTCTGTAAAAGTAGATTCCAGTCTCTATATTATTCTCAGTTTTAATCGTGGTTTGTCTTGAAAGCTCAGCTGCTAAAAAAATTCTGATCGTGAGTGGCTAAGATTTCTGTGAGATGGCGAATGTAAATAATATGCACCAAGAATTTCTTTCCAATGAAAAGAGACTAATTCCCACAGTCCTTTGGCAGCTCAAATTTAGCTGCTCACAGGCGAGTTGAAAATAATACTTTCTGTTAATTTGACTTAACATTTGTCACCAGATTTTTACATTTACTCTAACACTTCAAAAATTTTCTGTGAAACTTTCTGCTACATTTTTATCTAGAAAAATTTCTGGGAACTATGTTCCCAGGTTCCGATACTTTTTCCACCTCTGCACCAGGGCATCAAACTGTCCACATAGATGACCTGACATTGGTGAGGGCCTTAGGAGGATAAGGTTATCAACTATCCATGGTTGCCAAACTTGCCTAACTGTTGGTATTCTACTAGTGGATGTTATAGGAGCTAACTTTCTCATAAATGCTTGCAGGCAACATGTTTTTGCAGGGACTGTGAATAGCCTATGTCAGTAATTTTGTAAGAGTGTCAGCAAGGACAATCACCGATACTAAACAAAAAGGGTGTTACTCATCAGCATTATTGTGTTTTTGTTTTTAAAGTTTAGCATGTTGAATTTTTTGACATTTAAACCTGCTGTGTGTATTTACTGATCCTTGATGATTGCTATTCTTTTGAAAAAGTTTGTTGTATTTTTCTGCTAGCAAAATGATGAAGATTTTTGTCTTGAGCAACTTTTGTTTCTTTCAGAGGTTGCTATGCAGGCTCATGTCATAGTTACACTGATTGCTAGCAATTGAACTAAGCAATGCTTTTTTACTTTGCAGTGATTTAAGCATTGTATGTAGATAGGACTTTTTTCATTGTTGTTATCTGTTCCTTTCAAGGTACGAAAATCATTATGGTCTTCCACTTGGAAGAAAGAAGGGACAAAAGTTGGTATGTTTCTTAATATTGTCAGGCCTTTTTGTTAGATGTGAGCAATCACCCGTGATTATGTCAGCACTCGTGCAAACCCAACCACATGAGCATTTGATCGCTAACGCAAAAAGATAAATTGTGAGGAATAAACGTTTCATTAATTAACATATTTTCAGTCATCTTTTGTAACCCAAGCAAGTGACATAGACATTGCAAAGCCGGTATATCAAAACACAGGAAATATAAGTAAGCTAACTTAACCACATCTCAACGAAAAAGTGCATTTGAAAATGAATTCCACAGCAAATGCGACACAATAACAAATCATAATGAGCAATAAGCTAAGAAGGCTGAAAGTGACATATATTTTAAGATCGAAACTGCATAAAAATGAGGAAGTGTAAAATTGTTCAAGACACAATGATCATAAAGAGAAAATTATTGAGATTATCTTAAATTCTATTTTTATTTTTTATTTTTCCTTGCATTGATTACATCTTCAGAAGATCTTAAATGGAAAACAGTGAGGAAGGTTTCTTTGATTATTGATGAAGAGGAAGATATTCTTAATTTCCTAAAGGTGGCCTCTTGGCCTTCGTAGAATCGCTTGCAATTATTGGCAGTGTCAGATAAATTGTTAGATACTATACTCAAAGATAAGAATATAAATCTTTTCTGAATATGAGTTAATTGAAGAATATGAATTTTATTATGCAATAGTAACCAAGGTATGGTTTGTCCTGTTAGCCTGAAGGAGAGGAAGATGTGCTGACAAAGAAGAGGTCAAACCATGCCCAGAGAAAGGTTGATTCTAGAAAAGCACAAGGAAAACTTGAGCAGCATATTGAAGAACAATTCAACACTGGAAGAATTTATGGTATTTAAAACTACTGCTTTCTTGTGCCCAAGTTTAAAATAATACAAACCTGTTGTATCTTCAGCCAATAAGTGGATTTGTGGTAACCACAGTTTAGCCTGAGTAACACCAGTTAGCATCAGTATTATATTGGTTTGTTGCCAGATGTTTTTATAAACAACCTTGTATGGTAAGGTACAATATTGGTGAAAATACAGTCTGTGGGAAATTTAAGAACAAAATATAATTGTTTGATGCTATGAAGCCTAAAATTTATCAAAATTACCTTGTAACTAGGAAACAAACATTTCTTTGTAGTATTTTTTTAAATCATTGTTTCCTCGTTGAGTTAAAAAACCATAATAATTGAAACTCTAATTTTTACAGCCTGCATTGCATCTCGACCTGGGCAGTCTGGTAGATGTGATGGCTACATACTTGAGGGGAAAGAATTAGACTTTTACTTGAAAAAGATAAGAGCTAAGAAAGGAAAGTAAAGCAATTGTAAAATTAAGATGGAATGAAAATATACTTCATTACATCAGACTCTTTTTGTTGTTTTCTGTCTTTATATTCTGAATTACAAATTCAAAAATTTACAAAATCTTATTTCTTAATTCCATCAGTTTAGGGAACGTTTTTATGGCTACCATTGATCAAGAAGTTATTGTGTTATATTTTTAACCTCAGATTTGGTTTTATCGCCATAGTTTTTTGGCTGTATAAAATTTTTCATATTGTTTGTGCATGTCTTTTTAGATTATATGGAGAAGTGAAGTTTGAAAACTTGTAAGGGATTTGACCTCAAAAATCATTCCAAGGGAAACTTTGCCCCCTAGTTGCCAATTACTGTTAAATCCCTTATAATATTGTTATCTTTATGTTACCATAAAATCAATATCGTGAGCAATGCCATAATGGAAACTTCAAAGGAGACTAAAATCCTTCCTCTCAATCTGCATCTGAGGACAACAATATTTTTTCAAAAGAATTTGAAGAATTTTTCAAAATGAGGCTGTAAGTTGTATAGGTGGATTGAGTAAAAGAACATCAAAATTTGCCATTGCAAAACTGATGATGTCTTGTTTTGTGCCTAACAAATTAGCAAATGAAACATGTTTCTTGAAACAGTGATAATGCTTTTGACTCTTGATACTATTAAAACACTCGACTCTTGATCTTAGAAATTGTTTTCCTTCTTAACAACTACAAAGATGTCTTAAATGACTTAAAGAAAATTCTGCTGATATCCACAAAACAAAGAATCCAAATAATAGGATTTCCAAATGTTAATCAGATTCATTATCTTCAAATGTGAAGGCTATTTGGTAAATTTAATTCCAGGATCAAAACATGCTAGATGCAATAACCTGCATGCCCTTGATTTTCAAACTTTTGTTAAATTTGATACCATCACAAATTTGATACAAATACACAATCTTAAAGAAAGAAAACCTTTTTACATCATCAGTAATAAAGGTGTCAGATGTATTTTATTTGTTTCCAATATTGTTTGGTCAGCCTTGTTGACGGAAGTTGTAAATGGAAGTTGAAACTGTATTAAGTAGGAAGCTAAATGAACTCGCTTTCAAAACTTTGTTCCATTTTACTTTTTTAAACAAGCACCTACCTTAAAAAACCAACTCATCTTCATCCCAAGGAAAAGTTAAGAAAATGCAAATATAGGGTAAAAAGCGGTTGAGATATTGAAATTTACTTGCTGATATGTACTTTGTTAACATTTTGTTATTGAAAATGTTAGGGGCTCTACCAGAAAAAATTGCGAAGTAAACTTAGTGAGCACAAGTGTTTTATAGGTTTGACAAATGACGGTGACAGCGTCGTAAAAAACAAAACCCTCAAAATTTAAACCATTTTTTGAAGCCAAAGGGCGTGAGCCTATGCATAGTTATTGGGACAGTCACGAAGCCTTTGAGACCTTTGTGAGACTGGTTACAATTCCCTCAAAAATTTTATGACTGGTTCTGTTTAAGAGCATAGGTAAGATTAAATTTTGGTATTGGACTACTAAGACGATCATTGTTAGCCATTTGTTTTGCGGAGTGACAAAAATCTCAACCGATTTTTATGGCTCCTCTATCAATGCTGCTGAGGCACCTGAGTGTACTTGTTAGTACCGGAAACTTTGGTATTTTCACTCAATGAAGAGATGAAATATTGTTTTGGCAAATCTCCAGCATTATTTGTTTCTTCAACACACCACCACAAGTAACAGGTTGGAAGAGATGGAGTTTAGATTCTGTTGCAACAAATCCCAAAATGGTTTTCACGATTAGGTCCGTCACAGAAACAAAAGTAATATGTTTACTTGTATTGGTAATATTATCTAATCATAGAAAAATTTGCTGTTAAGTGTCGCTGTGTTTTGTTTCATTACTTTTTCTTGTACATAAGCGCCTGCCTCTTATCGGGCACCTGATAATCTTTGGCCGCACGGCCTCCTAATCAAATATCAGCCTTCTGCAATCTTGTATGGAATGGTAGGAATGGTAGTGGGCAGGAAGGTTGCGTAGTTAGTACCAGAATAGTCCTAAGTGTCATCAGCTCCTATATGTTAAGGAGTTTTTTATGCACATCTTTTATAATTTGCAATTGATTTTTTGAAATTTCAACGCAACTTCACTGACACGATCAAGGCAATAATGGAAGGTTAGGCCATTTTTCTCTTCCAAACTATGACAACAATCAGCAAATGATGATGGAAAATCAAGATGAAAATAGTAACGGTAAGATTAGTTTTTGATGGTTGAAAGTGATATGATTCTTTCCTCTTAAATGTCCCACCAAATTGAAGGATTATATTGTGGAAACTTCAGTATCCATCTTAGAAAATTTATTTGTCACATACAATGACTTTGTGTTTTTTTACTTCTTTTTAGCTTACTGAAGCACTTTTTAAGATATTGTTGGCAGCTAAATAAAGTTTCAGTGATTTCTCAAAGCGTTAAATATTCCGCATCAGTTTTATTAAATTTTTGATGTCCTGTGAATGTTTATACCTATAGTTTCCACCGTCATCACACGCCTTCACAATTTCATTAAATAGGAAAACAATAATTTGTCAATTAAACCAACAAATTAAAGGAACGAAAAGGTTTTTTTAAACATTGGAATAAACAGAAACTTTTTTAGATAAATTTTCAAATTTAGTTTTGAAGAATTCAAGATACCTTTTACCATAAAAGCAGACATCAACTTTATAATACTTTCATGTTCTACTCTAATATACTAATGCTGGAGAGCATGTGCCAATGAAATTGATTTATGAGCAAATATTTGGACAAGCCATAGATATTTCTGTAATTTATTAAGCTGATCTAAACCAGCCAATTGCATTTTCAACCAATCAAGTCTTGGCAAGAAATATAAGGGTTTTTCCAAAAGACAGAAAGAAGGCCTGAGTTTTTGAAATACACACATTTTTCAAGAACAACCCTTATGAAAAACATCAGGCTGGGATTTGCCCAAAAAATAAGAACAACATAAGAAACAAGGCAGGCTGAAATTAAAAAAAAACTCAAGAAATAAAATACCAGCAATAAATGAAAAAAACGAATAGAAGCAGAAAAAGAAAACGATAAGCAAAATGGCATAGTGTACTTTGACAAGCACATGTTATGTCCGAACACTACTATGTGCATGAAATTTGATTGCAAAAATAAGAAACAAATTAAGAAACATATGAGGCTGAAATTATGTGAAAAAATAAAAAATGTCAGGCTGAAACTGGAGCCATGAGTTCTCACAAAAAAACATACACAGCTTGGTCCAAAAGCTTGCTTCTCAAGAGATTTCAAGCAACCAGAAAATTAATCTGGTTATGCCTCTTTCACCCCTTTAAGTCAGCAGTGTCAGTCAAATCTTGCCTTTTTTTAGCCTTTTTGTTACCTAAGTATTTATGGTCTGCTAGTTGGACTTGGATGTACCACCAATCCAGGTCAGATATATCATTAATCAATATGGGGTTATTTTCTACCATTTGAATTCAATTTCAGCCAAATATTGAACTGAAAATTCTAAATGAATCTTCATTGTAGTTTTTAAGACCAAAAGTTGCATGTTAAAAAGTTATTATCTTTGCCAATGTTCAGCCAATTTTCTGCTGGTAAAATTTTTTCTGTTGGAACCAAAATTCAAATAAAAGATAAAAACATATATGGTTTAACTAAACTTATGGTGAAATTTAATTAGAAAATAACATTTTTTTGCTAGCAGATTGTCAGCAGTTGTTGAAAAGGCTGCAGAACATTGGAATATTTGTTGAAAATGGGAATGAAATTTTTAAATTGATCACCAATTTGGAAGAGACAGTTGAACATCTGAAAAAGGAGCTAGAGGGAGTTTATGAGAAAAAGAAAAATTCAGATAAAGAAATCCATTCTTTGATGCTGCAAGATGTAGAAAACCGAAGGAAGATTTCAGATCTTGAAGATGAAATTAGAAGCCACAAGAATAAAGAACCACTTTATCAAAGTTCATCTTTGAGAAGAACTTTAACTGACCATACCCAGTTGAAAAGCATAACTGAGGGATTAGAAAAAGAAAGAGACACATTAAAAAAAAAAAATATTGAGTTAGAGCAGAAAGCTGTGGATTTTTTCAACACTAAATTGTTATGGAAGGAGACAGAATTAAAACTGAAGGAAGAAAATATCAATTTGAGAAAGCAACTTGATGGTCAAATTTATACCGAACAAACACAGAATAGTGAAATTGTTTTGAAGGATGGAAAACCAGACATTGATAAATTAACTGATCCTGGAGAAAAGCCAGTGGAACAGTTTACAATTTTACGAAAGGAGTTAGAATCTGTAAGAAAAGAGAACAAAAGGTTAAAGGAAATGAATGCTGATTTTAGAGATGAAATAGTTTCCCTAAAAGATACCCAAGAAGTTGTGATGAAACAAAAAGATGCAGAGTACAGCCTGCGTGTTGATCAGATTGATACCTTGAAAAGAGAAAAGACAGGTTTGATTGATCAGTTGGAGGAAAAGGTTAAAGAAATTCATGATCTTAAAGAAGAAAGCACTAAGAATGATCCTAAATTGTTTAGAGATTATGAGCAATTGCAAGTAAGTGAACGATTTCATAGGTGTTTGGAGCACTTTCTTATTTGTGTCATTTTTTGGTTATGGTTTCTTAGTTTATATCCTTTTTATAACTGGATGCTTATATTTTAAGTTTCAAGTCTGTTACTAATGTATCCAGAATTACAAAATAACATTTGAAGCCCAGCAAAAAAATCTCTAAATGCAGACACCAAAATAAATTCCAATTTGCTTACTTCCAAGATTAATTACCCTCATGTGACACCTTTGGGAATAGAAGTTCTCCATGTTTCCAAGGTTATAAAAGCTAAATATGATAAATTCTACACACAGAGAGTAGTTTAAGAAATTGCCTGATTTCTTTTTTTTATATTTTATAAAGAATCTACATTCAAAATTTTTATAAAAATAATCATCAACTACCGATAGTCTATATAATTTTATCCCAGAATGTAATAAAACATTGGCAACTTAGGAAAATATTGTTTGGCACATCAAGGCATCTACGTTGGAAACTATGTAACAGATCAGTAAACAGCTTCCCTTGGCAAGGTTTTATAACATATTGCAACTTATTGCTTCAGATATCATACAAGTACTTGGAAGATGAGCTGAAAAATTTAAACATTCAAGTAGATCTCTTGAGAGGTCAAAGAGAGCGACTAAAGTTAGAAAGAGATACATTGGACAAGGAAGTTGAAAATAAAAATTTGATTATTGAGGAAAATCAGAGGACAAAAGAAGCTCAAGAAGCAGTTGCTGCTGAGGTAAAATATGCTTAACATGTTCTTCGTTTGTGTTTTGTTAAAAGGTTGTGTTCAAACATCCATTATTATTTTAATTCTTATTTAAGCACATATAACATGTTTGATAACATCATCTGTGAAATGAGACATTGACAAAGGGGAGGTTCTGAAAGACAATGAAAATACCAATATTTCGAACTAAATTATTTTCTATATTTTGATTAATGCTTTGGTTTGTTATTTTTGCAAAGTAAAATTGCAAATGAATTGAACTTGAAAATTTCAAAAACCTTCAAAACAAGATATTTTTATTGCAACTTGAAAGCCCCTTGAATAAGCCTTCATCTAAAAACTTCCGAAGTTTATGAATCTCCCAGGGGACTGCTTTGCTGACTCATGGTGCATAACAGTCTACCTGTAAACCATGATGGGGCAATAAAAAGTGCTATTTGTTTATCTGACCCATTTTATCCTCTAGGAATGATATCAATCTAGCTGCAATGGCAATGCATTTGTTTTAGTTTAGATAAATTTGCTAAAACTTATTCCTTAATATATTGTTTGATGAAACTTGTCAGCTAAAACTTTCTTAATTGTTACACAGGCAGGGGCTCAAAAGTATGGCAACTCATTAGATGTCACAATCACAAAGGTTTGTAATATATTTTTGAAAAGCCTTCCTGAATTAGTCAATGTTTATGGGGCTAAAATGTCAGTAAATGGAAGAGCATAACATTTCATGAATATAGCAGGAGAGTTAAGAATATCATGTATTGAGGATAATTTTCACTACAATGTCAGTAAATCACTTATCAGGAATTATCAGTTTAACATTGTGTAAATTACAGCGGGATGCTGTGAAAGTTGTTTTTGCAATGGGAATCAGCATCCAAAATTGTTTTAAAAACAACAGAGTAGACGGTAGTAAGATCAGATAACTACTCACTCTTTTTGCAATACTCTCTTTATGTATAAAAAATGAGTGCATGTTTTTGTCTAGCAAGCAAGGTATTGGATGGAACTTTAATTTTCTAAGAGGTCACCACTTGGTTATTCCAGGAAAGTTTTTGGATGTGCTTCAAAGTTCATAATATTGATAAATTTAGCTTTTTAGTCATCTTCCATTTTGCAGTGGCTTGCATTTATTTTATATCTATGACCCAATATCACTATCCTTTGTTTTTAGATCTAAGGAGAACAAGTACTCTACTTTTTGCTTTTGCTTTTATCCAAAAGAAGATCCTAGAGCACTTTTTTCTTATTAGAATTATGAAAAGTGATCTGCTCAAGGACCTTCTCTAGGGGATTAACATTTTATGCTCAAAATACACTAACAAATACACTATTTTTTCATTATGCATCTGGTTTGTAAAAATGGTTTGTGAATTTGGCTTTTATCAAAACAGGTTGATGTTGGTGGCAAGGAAAAGAGGTTTGGAGTAAAGATGATGTCTAAACCATCAAGAGTAGTTATTACAGAAGTGGTAGAGAAACAAACAGAAATAAAGTATGTTGGTCAGATGTTTTTTCTTTTATAATTTTCAGGGGTAACATGTTTCTTTCTTTTTGCAGTGACTTTAAGTTATGGGTGTGAGTTTTGCTCAGTAGTTAGGATCCCCTTCTAGAGATACACAGCTTGGGGATTCCAGTCCCTGCCATGATTAGACATTTACTTAGAGTGAGGTTGCTAGCACTCTCAAAATATGCATCATATTTAATACGAATTCAAGGGAATTTTCATTTTATCAGGTTAAAATTGCATATTTTTGTTTCCATTGTAAGAGGAAGTATCCATTCTATTTCTTTGAGACATTGAACACTCTTTTTCATCAATTCTCTATCAACCCATTGTTTTCCTCTGCATATAATGTAGCCTGATAACAAACTGAACCTGTTGAAACAAGTTTTTTGTTGGCTTGCAGATAGAACAAGCTTTTTAGCATAAATGTATGGAAGCTTCTATATTTACCATAGAAAGGGCAATTCAGGTTATCTAACAGTGTAGTCCACAGTTATATTTGAAGCTTGACTGTTTGCTCTAACAATTTTAAATTCTGACATTTTGCATTTCAGGCCGGGAGATTATGTCATAAAGATTAATGATATGAATGTGCAAAATTCTGACATGAAGGATGACTTTAGGGATCTTGGGAACCTTGACTTCTTAAATATGGTATGTTTTTGATAATATCTGTTTTTTAAACCTTATTTATTCTTTGCTGTGTATGGAATCAATGTACATACTTTTTTGTTGGTATGACTTTTTTATCACCACATTGGTACAGCAGATTATCAGACTGCAGATATGTTACTGCAGATACATAAACAAGATGGATTAAAGGGGGCTAAAGTGTCCTCAAAGGTGGAACGATAGCTACATCTGTTGAATACAATTGCTTTAGAATTAGTTTCAGTAGTATGGGTTTGGCAGTAGATTGTAGAAAAATGCAAGTTTTTAATTGAAACTGATAGGAAGAGGCAACTTTTATCTATTTCGTTTTCAGCTAAAGAATTATTTTAGAAACTGTTTATAAGATTGCTTTTTTGAGAATTTAGTGGATAAGGGTAAAAAGAGCAGTGAGTGCAGTAAATCAGATAAGGTGGTCCAAAATTTCACTTAGAAGCAGTCTTAGAAGACTGATAGAAGAGACGTTAAAGAAAGGGATTGCTCTATGGGCTGTCTTTCTGCCAGATTTCCCGAAAGCTACACTCTCTAAGCAGCCTTATTTGGACTTAGATGAAGACTGTCAGTACTTTCGAAAGTGTTTGAAGCAATAAAAGAGAGATAATGCATGTACGCATTGTGCAACTCTAATAGACTTAGGGTCACTCGAAGGGTCACTTTTTCGAGGGTGAGGGCTTATTGGTAGTAATTACAATAGTAACGTCTGATTTATCAAAAATTGGTCCAATCTATATTTGTAAACGTCACAAAGAGTATGAAGGAAACCCTATTTATCCACCGCAGAGGCTTATTTTAATAAACGAGCTTGATTTTCACGAGGTATAAGAATTTTTATCAAGCCCAAGGGTTGCTTCTCGAGGGTTTGCGCTCATTTGCACCATAATGGGGGCTTTTTTGGGGGTGAGGCTAATTCGAGGATTTGCAGTATTTGTCTCTTGAAGAAGGAATTCACTATGAGCAAAAGGCATCCCTTGTAATTAGAAAAGGTAGTTATACTTTTTTGTGGTATATTAATCTTTTTGTATCTATATCATCCGATGTAGTATGCCATATCTGTATCTCTGTCAACCTCATTCCTATGACTGGCAGCTCGTTATGATATTATGAAGCCTCGTTTACTTGCAGACCCTTGTACGTCCAAGAGACTGCTTTCAGGAATACAACGTCAAAGACCAATCGAACTGTAGGTCGTTTTACTTTTCTAATCTTTTGATGGCCTTAAACAAAAATATCATGAAGATTTCGAAACTAAACTCATAAAATGTAAGGAATTTTCGGGAGGAAAAGTGTATTTGTTTTGATTGTGGTTGATCAGGCAGATATAGGTGAAAGATGTTATCTGTCTTCAAAAGGGCCATCTCAATACATTTTGTAGACTTGCTGTATAAATTTGAATGAAATGATTAAAGAATTAAAAAGTTTTAAAGGACAGGTTCCCGGCCTAAGCTGTGCCCGTAAGTGATCCTCTATGGCAAAAAGACGACTCATGTTTAATTTAAGCAGTTATGAGAGACGATTTGGTCAGTCCAGTAGTCCAAACAAAGGTATCTTTCACAAGATACTTATAACATTCATTGTTATTCATATATAATACTTTTCACCACTCATATATTAATTTGTATGACAAAATTTTTCTCACAGGTGTCGATGCGAAGCTTTCTCTAGTAGTGACAAAGTTAAGCTCTGCTGCGAAAAGAGCCAATATAAGATTGGGCGATGAGATCGTCAAGGTAAATGAAATCTTAATTCTGTGTAGGAAGTATGAGTAAATTTGTTCTACTTATATCCCATACTTCAGTGTAGAATTGTGATTCAAATAGTTATGCCTATGACAAATTATTCCTGTATACTTTATATGTTCTCCAAACATGTTCTAAATTAAATCAAAACATAAAGAATTGGAACTATTGATTCCGTGACATTGACAGAACTATGCAGTCTAAAAATTTTCATTGCATTGAAACGTCTTGTTATGTTTTTATCTACTTTGTTGCCGATACTTGTATTATTTTGAGCATGCTTTGCAGTTAGTCGGATTTTGATACTAGATTTCTTGTGTCTGTTGGCCCCGCCAAACCTAGCGATATTTGTGTGAACACACAATTGATCCGACTCAACCTTTAAAGTTTAACAACAGTGTATGTAAACAGGTCCTTTTTGACGATGATGGCTAACAACGAGGCTGCTTCTTGTCTTAGATAAATGGCTTTGATGTTAGCACTTTACCATTCAGTAAAATTCAACATAAATTAGCAAAGCATTCAGTGAAACTGTCCGTAAGAAGAACAATAGATGAAGTAGAGTGGATTTCTTCAACGCCAAGCGCCACCTATGAGAGTATTGACAACGTGGGAGAGATTTCAATTGGATCGAATTTAACACGTTACAAAAGTCGGTCTGCTGTAAGCAGCTCGAAAGCATCCTCGATCTCAGCTAGTTCCAGTTCACCCGACGACGATGATTCTTCATTTCGTCGTAGCGCAACTGCCGCAACTGACATCAGCAGAGCGTTTAAAAATTCTGTTACATCGCCAGATATCGTGGTTGGTGATAAGAGTAAGTTTTGTTAGTGTTTTTTGTTCGTTTTTTTCATAAAGATCTCTAGAGCTGGGTTTGTAGACGAAAAAATGGAATATCCAGAAAACTGGCCTCAGGGACATTTGTGTTACATTTTTCTGAACTGGAAAGTTCCAATGTCTTGTTCGGCGATGTTTTTCCAATGAGCCAAACATCTGCCAGCTATTGCTGATCGAACCTCATTTTAAACCCCTCATTTCACCTTGGTACTTTCACAGAATGTTTTGGACGATTGATTGCCTTGTACTTTCACTAACGATAACTTTGCTGGTGCTCCCTTTACGTTTATATTTGTTATCAGATACAACACTAGTGCAGTTCCAGTGTCTGGAAATTTAATTTTACACTATTCTTCAGTTTGCTCACTTTACATCACAATATCACATCACATTGAGGACTAAACTGTCTCCTGCCATTCAGTACAACCGCACTAACTCATGCCTTTAGGCCTATAAAGGCTAGCCGCCAAAGAAATTGTCATAGTTTTCATGTTTCTTTTAGTTTTAATAAGAAATAATGACACGGATGATAGCGGAGACAGCTCAGTGATCAGAGAGCAGGAACGTCAAGGCAGCAATGAACCAGATTATGTTTTCATGGGAAACCCTCCAGTCGATGAACATCATCATCTTTCTACCATCCCTGAAACTTCATTACCTGCGCAGAATGGAGAAACTCGAAGTGATTCTTCTAGTTCTACAAAACACGATGAGGTGGCGAGCGAGTGTTCTCCGGTCATCGCCCGGCCTCCTCATCCTCTACCAGACAATACACATTCGAACTCTGGTGCATACCATTATGTTAACCAAAAATTTTCAGATATAAGAGGGTGAGTCTAATTCCTTCAAATTCATCTAGAGCTCTCAATCTGTACATACCTTCCTGACCACAGCAATTGAGCCAGCTTCCTAACCAAATGCAGGGTAGCATGCATGAATAGTAAGCATCTGCCCCCTGCTCTTCCCTTCCCCTCTCTCCCCCTACCTCTCTTTCCTTTCTGCCATTCCCCTTTTCTCCTCTTAAATATCTTCCCGTTCCTTTTCCTTTATTTCCGTTCCTTCCTCTTCTTTCCGATTTAGTTCCTTGCCTTATCATCCTATCCCCTTTCCTCCCCTTTCCTCCCCTTTCCTCCCCTTTCCTCCCCTTTCCTCCCCTTTCCTCCCCTTTCCTCCCCTTTCCTCCCCTTTCCTCCCCTTTCCTCCCCTTTCCTCCCCTTTCCTCCCCTTTCCTCCCCTTTCCTCCCCTTTCCTCCCCTTTCCTCCCTTTTCCTCCCCTTTCCTCCCCTTTCCTCCCCTTTCCTCCACTTTCCTCCCCTTTCCTCCCCTTTCCTCCCCTTTCCTCCACTTTCCTCCCCTTCCCTCCTCTTTCCTCCCCTTTCCTCCCCTTTCCTCCCTTTTCCTACCTTTTCCTCCACCTTTCCCTTCTCTTCGCTTCCCTCCTCTCCCCTCCCCTTTTCTCCTCTTCGCTCCCCTTTCTTACTCTTCTCTTCCCTTCTTCCCCTTTCTCTCCTCTTCTCTCTCCTTCCCTATCTTTCCCAGCTCTTCAACAAATTTGGTGCCTATGCACACCAGGAGATATTTCAATTTGGAGATGTGGGTGTGAAATCTCAACAATATCTTTCTTTGATTGCAACCGTTCTGATTCCCATAGTATTATAAAAATATTTTATTTGTCGCAACTATCTGCACTGGTGTCGATGAAAAACTTTACCCTGAAGGTTATTGCCTCACGCTTTACAGGTAATGAGATAATGACACAATTTTCTAAAAATTTTGAATATCCTTTCTTGATCTGCTGTTAAGTTTGGCTGCTATGAATTATCAAGGACACCCATAAAGTCTCCATATGTCTTCGACGTTTCCAGAAGACCAAAAACCCTTGGGTATGACAGAATGGATTTGAGGGAGAGAAGTGTGAATTGTTGTAATAATGTAAAATTTCTATGAAATGTTTCCTTTTGCCTTAAAAGGTATCAGAGAACTATTACACTCAGAAAGAATGTAAGTGTCCCGTCATTTGGTTTCACAATATTTGGTGGAAATAAAGTTGGCATTTACGTCGATCATGTCAAAGAATGGGAACCTGCAGAGCAGGAAGGACTCCAGGAAGGATCACGGATAATTTCTGTAAGTCTTGCCATATGTGTAGATTACAATGCAATTTGTTATAACTTATCGTTATACAAGAATCCCAGATAAAATAACCTCCCGTGTTACAAGCATCCTGTTGAAGTGAAATCAAAATCCGGTCTCCTTAATACAGCTCAACAAACCTCCCGTATCACAAAACTCCCGGTACAAATTTGTTATAACTTATCGATATACAAGAATCCCAGTTAAAAGAACCTCCCATGTTACAAGCATCCTGTTAAAGCGAAATAAAAATCCGGTCTCCTTTATACAGCTCAACAAACCTCCCGTATCGCAAAACTCCCGGTACAACGAAATAAACGTTTGGTCCCATCAATGCAGCTAAACAAGCTGTATCATAGAAACAAAAAGTCCCGGTTCAACAAACCTATCATACAAAGAAGCTCTCGGTATAACGAACTAAATAACCGGTCTCTTCTGTAATGCATAAACATGACAAAATCTCGGTTCAACGAACCCCTCTATTCTGCTAAACAAGCTGCATTCATAAATATATTGTAGTATTTGTTTCTTTTCTATTTTACTCACTGTAGGTAAGTGTGGAATTCAAGCTGAAGACGTAGTTAATTCAATAATTACCTGTCAAGGATATATTACAACACATTTCTCTGTTAGCTGTTAGATTCGTGCATAATTTTATTTGTAGATTGTAAAGCTGTTTTGATGAAGTTATATAAGTATGTATTTTTTTACTTTTTCTCACTGGACATCCGACTAATTTACCTTTTGGACACCGGTGTGAACCTAGAAATGGTATGTTTTGAATTTCTTTTCGAGGAAACTAGCTTTGCTTCAAAAACATACAGGGCCTAAAAGTAACTGAATAGCATATTTACCGCTCTTTGGTCTTAGTAAATTAGTTTTGTATTCTTTAAATTTTCACCAATATAAAGGTAGAAATCTTATATTTTGTAGATGAATGGAGTTGATGTTACTGGATCAGTGTTTTGTTTTGCTGCAGAATATATTCGAAAGTTATCTAACACTGATATGTTGAAGATGATTGTGATGAATATGCCAGGTTAGAAATCGCTCCTAGCTTTTACTATATCGTTTTACAATATGTTGTCGTTTATTCTGTGTATTTCACACCACGCCAATGATCCACGAACAGTCAGAATTGTTTTACATGCTATCATATCAGGACAAGGTTTTGTCTTCCTTAAATATTTTATCTTCTATCCAGATTCCTCTTTCTGTTTCTGACCTCAACTGCTTTCAAGCTCAAAACATTAGTTAATATGGTATTTTATTGCTCACAAAGTTCTAGTATTGAAATCGTGGACTGACAGAAATTTAAGTTAACCAACGGCTGGATAAATAGACTTTGTTTTAGCAAGTGATATATTTTCAAGACCGATACCGCCACGGTACTAATACACCGTATTTGAAAAGATGCAAAGCTTTGGCGTGAATTCAAAATACACTGATTCATACTCTGTTTTCAATCTCGAAAAGGTTTATTATGCATACCTATTTCAGGGTAATTTGTGCAAGAACACAGACAATATCCCCAGTGTAGTAAGCTAGAACGTCAAATGATTGGAAGAGGGTTTGCTTCAACGAGCGTTTGTTCAGCTGCTGTTTTTATTTTTGCATTTTATTTCTTTTATAATTTATTGCAAAACTGGCAGCTTAGTGCATTTAAGTTCTCTCTCCTCTTTAGAGAAAGACATTGCTGCTATTCGGTCAAAAGTTCCATATGACTGGTTCTCTGTCAAGTAAGAAAATTATGTGAAATTTTTATGAAAATTACTGTTTGGGAAAACGTGCTTTGTGTAAATCGAAATTGCCATTTCCCTGTAATAATAGGCGAATTACAGACATGAGTTCGATTCCATAACAACTGGTGTAATGGATCTTTTTGGGAGATATCTTACAGATTGAGCCCGTTGCAGTTTGTTCTTCATCGGGCTTTTCAATTGATATTATTGTCATGTGGCCTAAAACTTATTTTGTCAGTTTGTTTGATATGATCCGGAGCCGATCTGTTTTGCAAGATAAATTCTCATTTCTGGAGGATTTTTTCAGTGTGATTAATTCAAGATATTATCCTAGTAAACACGCTTATGAAACCGCAAATTTGGACGGTTTTGTTAAGTTCTATTAAGAATTTGTTAAGAAGTTCTATTAAGATTTCTCAAATACTGCAATCAATCTTGGAGTTGCTGTCCTGTTTTTTTTCTTTTTCAATTAATCCCATTTCTAAAATCCAATCCCATTGACAAACCCAATCCAAAGCCATTCGCCTCGTCAACAACTGCAGCCTCACAAAGTCTCTTAACCTCTTTCTCATCGGTGCTGAATCGCCGATCTCTCAATATTTTTTACATTTTACCACGGTCATTGCTCTTGGGCGATCAGAGATATGAACCCGCGTCACCTAAGACATGAACGTAATACCAGATACTTTTCCAGTAATCACCTTTTCCAAGTCTTGATCACCCTTTCCAAGCCAAATTTACGAACGCTGTCCCACAACTCATCCTTCTTTCCCAGATCTTGTAAAACTTGGAATGCCATGCCCTCCTTCTGCTTCCCAGACTTTTATAACCTGTCTTTATGCTAAACTAAAAGTAGCAAGCTTGGTCTTTCCTCCCTCTCTTTGAGATCGCTCCCTCCCTTTCCGTGTTGTGCTTCAATATAGGCTGCAGGGTCACATCACCAACTAAACAAATTTTACTTTCGACAAGCTAATCTTTCAGAGTTAATTTTTACACTTTTGCTTGATGTGTTTAATGTGCGTAAGATACAAGGGGGTGTTTATATAACAAGCGGACCAGCCCGCCTTACCGAGATCCCGGTTGACTTTGTGGAATAAGATTCTTCTATATAAACAAACGCAATCGAGCAAGCTCGGTTTATTGGGAATTGTACATGTGCTTGTACGCTAGCAGCTATAATCTGAATATTCACTCGTGTAACAAACCTACTCAGCCCAACTGACAGGGCTAATTGTTCCCTTCATATAGCAATGGTATTTGACTGGTCTCGGCAAACCGAGCCAGCCTTGTCAACCGAGCTGGCTCACTCATATAAACGAGTCTTTAGAATTTTGGGGAGCATAGATTTCCTGCTAGGTGGTGTTTATCTATAAGCAATTTCCTTTATTGCCTTTTTCTACTAAATAATAGTTAATTAAGAATTATGCCACTTTGAAGTTGTTTCGGGTTTTTGGGGTTGTGGTTTCCGTATCCTGTGAGGTAAAAACTCTTTGATATCCCAATGAAGAAAGGGTATGTCCATTTAGGCGCTGTTTCCTAAGTTTTAAATATAGCTGAAGATCCATTTTTTGCCCATCTTTCAGGTGTGGATTTTTCTGTCAAGTTTTTTGCAGCACCATGGTTGCTTTTAGTTCTCAATATCAAAAGCTCTAATTGTTTCAATTTTCATTTTTCAGAGCAAGGAAAGATCATCCTCATGTGCCGGGTTGCACGTTGCCATTCAAGAAGGGTGATGTTTTGCAGATTAAGGATTCGTACTATGATTTTGATCCAAACACGGGTGGATACAAATGGTTTGCAGTTAAAGCTATTGGTGGTGGGGTCTACAGCCAAATGAGAGAGGGATCAGTTCCTGCAGAGCAAAGGTTTTTTATTTCTGCTTTCTGTTTTAGAATCGGAACTAAAGATCATTTGTATATTCTGGGTATTTTTGTATCAACAGTCCCAATCAGTAGGAGTTCATTAATGGGACACTCAGTCAGATATTTGAAAATTTTGATCATTTCTCCTGACAGTTGGTCAAAATTTTCCGAAGAAATGTAAAAACAAAGCATTGTATCGATGTGATACTTAACGTTTTTTTAATGATCTTTTTCGCTATGTTCAGACGTCGGAACGCTAGTTCTGTAGACGATACTTAAATATCCAAGATGTTAATGCTACCACATAGAAATATGTGGTAGCACTGTTAGTTCTATTTTTTATCGTTAGTAACACCCGTCAATGCAATTCAATGTTTGATTTCAATTCAGTTCAACGCAACTTGATTTCTTTCGCATTATTACAGGGCATGTCATAATTTGGCTAGGAAATACACCATTAGAATAATATATGTGTTACATACATTATGTATCACCCATTACACTATGTACCCTTCGGGAGTTCATAAATTAATTTAACTTTATTTTTTTTAGCTCAGTTTACAAAATGAACGAGGATTATCCTGAAGAAGAGTTTGACAATGTCACTGATTCTAAAAAGAAGAAAAAATTATCTTTTCTGAAACCTTGGATGAAAAAGTCCGAATCATCAGACAAATACGAGGGTGAGTTTTTATTCTCTGTTTCTTGAATATCATCGCAAAGTTATTTCTGCTCTTGTAGAAAGACAGCTGGTTGAGAAACTTAGCTATCGTTATTAGGCAGCTTATTATGAATTATAATGAATATTATGATTAATATTATTATTATGAATATTATGAAGTATGAATTATGTATTATGAACTAAACGGTTCTTGGGCGTTTTAAAGAAATCTCTAAACGAAAGAGCCTCGAAAGCTTATATTTAGAGCCCGGAGACAGATTGTTGGAATGACTGCTATTGTATCAAATTTTGTAGTTTGGATATTTCAACGAGTTGAACCATAATCTTTTTTTTCAGAAAATTCAGTCTTCCCCCATGAAGAACTCTACGAGTATTTAGACGATGTAAAAATCTAATAAGCAAGATTGCTGCCGAATATATGGAGAGGAGAGGGTAAATATGTTAGTGCAGAAGTTTCTTTGAGATTTGAAATCATTATGAATATGTTGAAGAACAAACTTCGTGTAGTGAAAGAGATCAGTTTATGAATTGTCATTTCTCTATACAGCTCATATTTGAATGTAAAATTTCCGTAAATTTTGGAATTGTGTGCCTTTTGAGTTTTATCAAAGGCAGTGTAGTAATCTACGAATTCTTAGAACGTAGAACTTTTTATTTCTATTTAACAAAGCTTACTTTAGAGTAATTTTAGGACTTCTTTATGGAATCCACGTCGCAAATTCTAAGTTTAAATGAAAACGATAGTTTCTTATGATCAATTTTTTACGACATGCCTGCTTACACAAATATTTTCGTTTTTATGTTGTATAAAAGTAGAGGGTGTTAATAAGTTTGTATATGCTAGTACTTTTTGTCATTGTTTCCTGCTTTGACTGTTTTGCTAAATATTTGCCAAATGTTTTATTACGATTACGATCCACAATGTTTTAGAATGCAGTATAATTCAATCCTGTTCTAGATTTAGTTTAAATTTTGTAAGATTATCCGGTATATAACAACGAAGGAACACCCGAACTCGAACTTCAATACTCCATTTCGTATTCTCACGCATAACATAAGATAACAAACCGGGCGCATGCCCAACATAACATTAATACGAGGCTAATAACGTCACAAATTTAGTTAAAGAAAGTTTAGTTCTCCCTTTGGCAACCCAAATTGAAAGATTTCGAAATATTTTTGTTTGTATTGTTCAAAATATTTTGATGCTTCAATTGAAATTACCAGTTGTACTCGTGGCTATTATATAGAATACGATATAGACAGCTACTTCTCACTTTGATCGAATGTTACACTTTCCTTTGTAGCCCCCTTGAGTCCCAGAGATTCCCCCTGTATTATTCATTTTTGCGTTAGTGAACAACGTATCAAGTAATCATCTAACTCAAAGAGTTTTATTTAATTTGAATTCAGGAATTAACTCATTTTTATTGTAATATTTGGAGCAGCATACCACGTCATATTTAATTTTAGGCCTATGCATCTGTTGTTCAATATCTTGCCGTTTTGATATTTTCATATTTAACGTCCAGTTTTTTGGAAGCTACTGTATTTAATATGCCAAACTTGAACATCTGTAATTTCATACCAGTATTAAAACATATAATTTTATCGTATTTTTTACTTCTTACTTTTCCTGCTGCCGATTTTATTCAATTCAAGTTTTGTTTTGCATTAAAATTAGCCTACACCTACAGAAAAGTACAATGCCCCGTCAGAAATCTTTTCCACCTAAAAATACTTATAATATACTCCTAAAGAGCTTCTCCTATCTTATATTTTGTTACCCTGCCCGCACAAACTAATTTTATTTCCGCTCCTCAGCTGCAGTAGTTAGTGCCTGCATGTAGACTGATAGTTTGTACGTTGAAGGCTGCATGTAGTCTAAGTTAAGCAATCTGATTTTAAGATCAAAATGCTACTATGAAATCTTATATGAATAATAATTTTACTGAAACGTTATCCTACATTGCAAAAAACAGCATTATTGCCACTCAGAATATAGTTTTCTACCTTCTAGAGCGAAACGAGAAACTCCAGAAGTGAGGAGGCTTAAAGGGCAAAGCTCATTCGTAAAAGAACATTTTGTAGAGAAGACTTGACCTTCTTGATGATTTCAAAACAAACTGAAGATTATTCTTTGCATCTGCATCATTTTCAGAAATATTCCAATGACATTAGGACGCGAAATCTGCAAAATCCTCTACAACCATTTCAGAATCCAGTTTTCTTAAGGATTGGAGCGCTAAACATGTTTGTTTCTTTTTTATCGGGAATGCTAAAGAACCTGAAGGACTCTACTTTATGAACCTTAAAACGAGTGGAAAACTGTAAAACATTCTATAGAGGTACAGACGTGGGTCCCCTGCTAGCGAAGCAGAAAATTTTTGCGACCACGCCTTTTCGATTAGCTCGAAATACTTTTCATAATATTTTTGCAATCGTTTGCTTACTGTATTTTAAAACGTTTTTATTTTGTCTGAAATATCAACCCTCTCCCCTCCTTGAGGTAGTAATCTTACTGAAGATTTGTACTTTTAACAGACATCAACTTTCTTCTGAGCATTTTTGGGGGCAGTCGCCCCCTTGCTACGCTACTGTCTAGCTAGAAAACTTATTTCCTTAAAGCCATTGTTTAAGAGGGTTTCATAAAGCTTGTTGATATCCTTAGAAAAATATAAAATGCTGATATAATCGACATATTTATTTCTCTTAGCTACTTTTAATAGAAAATGGCAAATGGTAGGTGTATATAAGGAACAATGTAATGGAAGGGAAAAGGTTTCTAAATGTCACTGTTCTTGCCTAATCGAGCAAAAAGCCCAATTTGCAAAACGTTCAAACCGTAGTTTATATTTTAATTGTGTTTTGATTCTCTTATTATGTTGAATGATAAGAACGAAAATGAAAGGAATCTGGTCGTTGCTTAGCAGAGACATGACTTTCTTGGAAGAGGAAATGAACATCGCACCTCGCCCAATGGTGATCGAATGTGTTCATCGCTCAGAACAAAAATCCTTAAGAACCTTGGTGCCTTGTGATCAGAACTTGACATTCACATGACTGGGAAAAACATCTCGAAGAAAGATTCCTGAATAAGAAGATCTTCATGGTTCCACCAAAAAGTTCAGCAAAAGCAGACCAGTAGCATGTAAACATATCTATTGTATTACCTAAATCCTGTTTGCATTATTGTCGTTTAAAATTTATAGGGAAGCATACTAGGCAATTAGGGCTTTAGGCCTCAGCTAAGTAAGTTTTTTTGGACATGCTATATGATACGATTCCCTATGTAATTCGATATAAGATTAACGAATTAACCAAGCACGATTAATAATATGGATGGTTATATAAACTTTTAGGTTAAAGACAAACACGAGGCTTGGAGTAAATACTTAGATGTACTTTCGTGTGGAAAGTTGGCAGCAAATTTGGAAAGGTAGCAAGACTGTGCGGAAATAAATTGCAGGTAAAAATAAAGAAAATGGAAAAGAAGGAGCATTTGTATAAGATCTTGGTGATTGGAGACCTTGGTACTGGGAAGACAAGCATTATCAAAAGATATGTGCACAATTTCTTTTCAGTCCATTACAGAGCAACAGTATCCTTATCACAGTACTCAGTAATATTTTAACTGGATTGATTTGCTGATCCTTTCACCTATTCTTATTGGCCTGCTTTTGTTTTTTTTGTCATCAGGACCCAATGATCATGGCAAGGGTATAAGGTAGAGGCTGGGAATGCCCCCATATTTAGAAATTCAATTGTTAGTGTTCTTTGGTAGATAATACCCTAATACCACCCTCAAGCCCTTGAGGACTTCCTTAACAAATATTGATGGGTGGGTGATCACCCTTGCAAGCTCATCCACACAGTTTGTCACCCTTGTGAACATTTCTTAATCAAACGGTCTGGATTAAGGGGACCATTTAGTCTACTACTGATGACAATACAATTGTTTGAATCACTGTTGAAACTGACCTTTTATCACATGTAATTGCTCATGACCCACAAAGTTGAAAAGTTTATCTTATTCTCAGATTTTTTACAAATGGTATTGACAAGCCCTTCTGACACTTAATTTTAGATTGTAAATTAAGTGTAAATTAAGAATTATGAATTTTTAGTACAGCTTAGGGGTCTTTTGTAGAAAAGATAAGGCCAGCTTAAAGATCCTGTTTTCTTTCCTTAATAATTTGCCAGATTGGTGTGGATTTTGCATTGAAGGTATTGAACTGGGATGAAAATACACTAATCAGACTCCAGTTGTGGGATATTGCTGGTAAAGAAACAATTTCTTATAAATATTTTATTTATTTTTGTTGTTCATACATATTAATGTTAACTGTTTATAACATCTGAAATGCCCTAGAGGTTATTCATAAACCAGGCCATGCTGTTAGCAAAATGAAGGTACTCTAAGCAAAATTCAGGATGGTTTCCACAGTGGTGCATCTTGAGTGTGAACTGCAGCTGGCCAGCAACCAGAAGGGGGTTTGAGGCCTGAGTCCCCAAAATTTGAGAGAGTTCTCTTGTTAGGTCATATACTAAGTTTTAGTATGTGACATTAGCCTTTCTATTTTATTTGTTAGGATTTTTAGATTAGAAAACTTAACTGGTATAAAGATAATGTATGATTTAGCTCATACCTTGAATATTGTCTACTTATTGTTAAGAATTTGCCACTTCTAGCATTTCTAATATTGGAAGCTTTCTTATGAGCTGAGAATTTGAAAAATAAGGGTGTTTAGTGACTGCAGTGTCACTTCCTTTTCTTCTAAGTTAATTTTGTTTTCAAGTTGTTTCTTGGAGATAAGTAACAACACACTGCTTTTATACTATCACACTAGGCCAAGAAAGATTTGGTAACATGACAAGAGTCTATTATAAGGAAGCTGTTGGCTGCTTCATTGCTTTTGATGTCACAAGGCAGTCAACATTTGATGCTGTTGACAAATGGAAACACGACTTAGACTCAAAGGTTCAACTTGCTAATGGACAGCCAATACCATGTGTGCTCTTAGCAAATAAGGTATGCTACATAACAGCATCTGCTATAAGATAAAAAGTTGAATTTAAAGCCACATTTTTTGCAGTTCGTCCATGATTTTTTCTTTTAAGTATACAAGAATACAAATATGAAAGACTTTCAGGAGGACCAAAAAAGTATTCATTATATCGGTACTTCTTAAACCCAGGGAAAATTTCACTAAATTATGTCTTAAACAAAAATTCTTTGATGTTCTTTATATACCCCGTTTAACAAATGTCCACCCTAAGGGCTATCAAAATAGAGTTATCCAGTTGGCGTAGGAAAGGGCTGCACAACTTAATTTTTGGGTTGAGCTGCAGACAAAAATCTGACATCACATGTGGGCCAGATTGTTAGTTACGTAATTTATTGGAAAATTTTGCATGAGCAGTAAATGGATAACATGAACAATTATGTGAAAAGTTCCATAAACAGTTATAAGAAACAAATGGTCAATACGAAACGTTACACAATTTGTTTGCAGAAATTTTATTCACATTAAACTGGTACACATAAGACTGGTAGTTGAAGTGAGAAGAATGTCATGTAAACGTTTTTCTGTAGGCTTTGTTACGTGGCTTTGATTTGCTCAGCTTCAAAAGAGAAAGAATCTGCTAAGGTTAAGTCAGTTGCCTACTGATAAGACAGTATGACTAGTAAGAAATTTTTATGGAATTGGCACTCCATATAATTAGCGCAATGGTCAAGTTATTAAAAAGTTATTGCCATAATAAGGGCTACATAATATGCCCTTGGAGCCCATGTCTGGCCTGCAGGTTGTATGTTGAACATGCCTGGTGTAGGACTAGATGTTTACTGGCAAAATGGGTATGGATGTTTTCTGTTGATATGGCCTTAGAATAAAATTCTTTATTAGGCACAGATGTTATAGATTTGATTTTAACAGCAGCTATTTTCTGTTGCTATTCTCAATATAGCTAGCCAAAGTTTGAAGACAAATTCTGAAGCTATGACGAGGGCTGCAGAAAGGATTTATGAGCCCCGGGTTTACAGGGAATGCTCCCCCAAAAAAGTTTTAAGAAAATTCTTGTGAAAATTGTTATCGTGGCAAAATTTCGCTGGTAGCTTGTAATTCTGTTGGCCATTTTAATATAATTTACATATGTGTGATATATTAATGCCATAATGCATGAAAATATCTTAACCATAAGATATGGAATTCTTTATGACCAACGGAATGCTGGAAACATGGCATAATAAAGCACTTAGTACAAAAAAGCTTGATACCTCTCCAGAGTCAATAACGGACATTGCTAGCTTTTCAAAATACTTAAAGTTGTTCAAAGCAATGATTTTGATTACAAAAGGATTTAAATTTTTGAAGCAAGTTGACATTAGAATCAAAGTATTGCAGCTAAGATAAACAACAATCAATGCTGAGTAGCAAAACCTCTAGAACCTCTTAGATGAAACATAACTGTCCCAAAAATATCGAGGACCAAGATGAATTATCAAAATTTATCTCTATCTGAGAGTGAAATCCAAAATAGGGACATGATGATTTCCAGTTTTGTTAAAAAAGTTGATAATTTCCTAGAAAGTCACAGGCTTTGTTTCAGTGAGATAACATAATAAGATTATTGCTGTTTTTTTTTTTACTTTATTCATTCATAGACTTTATTATTGTTACTATAAATGACAGGTTGTGATAACGGAGAAGCTCATTTCTTACATATAAGTTCTTTAATTATATTATTGTTTATAGGCTCCCTATTTCCAGTGACCCCTTTGATCTCCCCCCCCCACCTTCTCAGCACTGGCTATGACTGACTAGAAAAATCAAAGATCTATAGGAAAACTTGTGTAAGAAGGAAGAAATGCAGGATAGGCTGTCCGCCTGATTTTGAGAATATTGCAATGCGTGAAAACGTGAATCCGACCACGTAAGCATTATGACACGTGAATCCAACGTAATGAGATTTCATTTTGAAATAAATCAAAGTTAAAACTTGTCAAAAAGTCTCTGAATGATTCAATTCTTTCGATATTTTGCTGCGTTTCGAAAAACGATGCAATCCCAGCAATATTTTATTTTCCCCTCACTTTAATCTAAGGCTTAAATTTTAACTGTATGATAATTTGATGTGTTTATTGGTAATTTACAGTGTGATCAACCCAAGGAAGGAAGGGTGAATAATGCTTCAAAAATGGACTCTTACTGTGAAGAAAAAGGTTTCATTGGATGGTTCGAGACATCAGCCAAGGAAGACATTAATATTGATGAAGGAGCAAGATTTCTTGTTAAAAAGGTTAGGCTCTGTTTTCAAACTTAAATACGTAAATTTTTATGATAGTTGGGACCTAAATTTTATTGATAATCATAGTCAAGTAGCTTTGCCATACCTTTCACCAAGATAAAATTGCTTTCACGATATTGATTTTAATCATTGTCTTTTGAAAAGGGAAAAGAGTTTTAGAAATGAATTACTTCTGGTGTTAGTTTTGCCATCTGATATACATACTAGAGTACTTTTTGAGTTGGCGTTTGAATCAGGCAAAAATGATCCGAAAGACTATGTAAAGCCAGCGTGAAATGCATCAGATCGTCATTATTGATGGCCAGGTATTAAAAGTTTCTATGACTACTCAAGCAGCTTACTAAACTTGGAAATATTGCTTTTAGGTTCTTGAGAACGACAAAGCACACAATTTTATTCAGCCCAATCAAGATGACGAAATTCTTCATTTGAGCTCAAATCGCTCATCAAAACAGTCTTCAACTGAAAGAACGGCTGGTTGTTGCTCACGATAGCTCAAATTTTATCGTAATGGTTTTCTTCGTCGTCATTCGTAGATTTAATCCGATATTCTTTAAAAATTTATTTTTTAAAATGTTTAAATTTTATCATTGAAATCAATTTTGAAGCCTATCTGTCAATAATGCAAGTTTACAAAACAATTACTGTATGATTCTAACACGAGTCATCAAAGTCGTGTTTGTTTGATTCTCAAAAGAGTTTCCAGATATTTGTAACGTTTCAAACACGTCTGTCTAATTTGAAATTCGGCCACGATTGATATTAGACTGAACAACTGTTCTCTTTATTATCTGGGTTGCTGTGAGGACTAACACAATTTATTATTGATCATTCCTAAAAGGACTCACTGTGAAACAACAGACCCAGTGAATGAGCCAGCCCCCCGCCCCCCTATCTGTCTGGATGCACCAATAAGAATATATTCAGTTTTATTTCACGTGTATCAATCTTTTGGTTGATTTTTATACTCAGTTGTTTAATTGGAATGCAATTCTATAACCTTTTGTCGTTTAGAATCTGTATCACGATTCCCATCTGTATTACCTACGACCCTTTCTTGTTTCAGCACCTTTTCTCTCATGCATCTATCAAGATGTTTTTGATGATTGTACGTGTACATAAACTCAGATCTTGTATTTAAAAGGCTCATCATATTCATGAATACATTGTGGCTGCATTGTCTGCCAAAAGTCTTTGAACGCTATGCTAAAGTTTGGCGTATTTTCAGGAGTGTCCGCCTCTCCCTTTGAGAAAATGTTGGATGTCAACGGTCTCAGAGCTTAGAACGGTCATATTGATTTTTATCCAGCAATATATAGGGGAGGGGAAATTTTTGAGTTTCTAAAAACGATTATTTACTGCAGGCTGTTCCGAGAGCTTTTGGTAGGGATTGTACACGCGTGTAGAAGCAGTGTTTATACCACTATAAATTGTAGATAACATAGTGGCATAATTATTATCTATGATTATCATTTATTTAAGGTAATGGGGTGATGTTAAGGTATCTATGAGTTTTCCTTAGGGTTGAATTTTCAATGACGATAAGATCCTAAAGAGATCAAAGGCGATGCAATTTGCCCCCAGTTTGTTAAACGTCTGTCCTGCTCCCTACCTCATTTTCTTTGGAGCTCTTCTAACAAACAATTGTAATAACGAATCTGTCTCATCACTCTTCTCAACAACCATGTCCTTACCCTGAACTCTTCTTCATTCAGCACATGAAGACATGAACCATGCCGTATTTGATAACGATGAATAGCATTCTAATAAAGGTACAATGTCTGCCAAAAGTCTTAGTGCACTACGCTAAAATTTCGCATCCCCCTTGGATTAATGTTCAGTAGTATCCCCCTTGGATTAATGTTGAAAAAAGGTTGCAATACTGAAAATTCGTCCAATATGACTCTATCAGCTAGTTTAAGTAACGAGCTTTTCAACCAACATTGTTTCTGTATTATACGGCCAGAAACTTTTAATTTACAAAAATCGTTTATTGGTAGCAGGGTGTTCCAAGGACTTTTGACAAGGATTGTATCAAAAGATATATGAAACTGATAAATTTGTAGTATGAATATGACGAACCTAAAATTTGCTCGTCTCAGATTTTCAAGGTTAATGTAAACTCAGGTGATGCATTTATGTTAATTTGAGAAAATCTGTGAATATTTTGATAGACGAGTCTATAAGGACATTTGCCTGTATTATTGGTTTTTGCTGCTTACGGCCATCTTCGTTGAACGATATTAACATTTGCCTCGCTGCCTATATTTGCTTAAGGATATCCAGACCCCGCCTACGATAGAATGAATGTGGGTAGAATACACCTTATTATAGGTATCAAGCCTTGATTGGCTACCTATTTTGCAATTCTTTTTCGCAGCTAATCGGGTTTTAGTGCTTATGTTACACCGGTTTTCTTTTCATCCAATTTTGCACCAACGATTTCGTCGAAATGTCCTTTTTTCCACAAAACCTACCGGCCAGCCTGAAAGTGTAAAGAAAAGCATTTTTCAGACAATTAAGGAAGGAAGATGCTTTATATTTATACAAACTCATTTCCCTAGTTTAGTTGAAAATTTGCAAAAATTATATTTAGGTTAATTTTTCTGACTATTTTGTGAATAATGAATTTTTCATGGCACACAATCACTAGTACTGCAGGAAATTGTTTAACTTATTACTAAGCACCAACCACGTAACTGTAGATGACGGCTGGGGTGGGCAAACTTGAGCAAGAACCATACCTGAGGGGGCAGGCTTTGAACAAAAAACAGATATAGAACAAACATATATATTTGGACTATATCAAGCTTACAAAAGGTTACAAGTTAACTATGAGTTAAAATGAGAACAATGTCAAAAATTACAAATGTCAAAAAAGCAAACTGCAAGTTTTCCTTAGCCACTCGGTTGAAAATTCCTCGAAAGATAAAGCGCGAGAAGGCACCTTGATGAAAAGGTGTGCTACGCGCTTTAAATAAGAACCAATAAATTTAAGTTCAGGCTGAATTTTTCAATTTTTTCAAAAATCCGAAGCTTGGATTGTTCTAAATTTGTTCTCAAATTAATAGGATATAAGCAGTGCGATTGCTAGCTTTTTCGCTCTAGGGAGGTGTTCAGACCCCATTTGCAAACAAAGTGAGTGAGAAAACTTTAATTTGCCGACAAGTTTGAACATTCGCCGAAAAGGCACCTACACATGGCTAAAAGTTCCTTGTTTTTTAGAGAAAAATGTTGTTCAAAATAATATTTTACAGTAGCGCTGCCTCAGCTTGTTCTTAATTTGTTCTTAACTTTTGAACAATTTTGAGGCTCGTGTTCTTATAGAATTGTTCTTATAAAAAGAATGCACATCGCTTTCTTGGGGCATCAATGTTGGTTATAGATAAGAAAAGGCATCCACACCTTGCCGAAGCATAATCTCACGTCATTACGATATTGTGTATAATAATCAAAACGGGAGCAGCGACTTCATAATTCTCCATTAAAAACCTGTGCCCAATGTTATAGTCTGCTTGCACCTGCAGTGGCTCTACATGCCACCTCCCTCTATTCTATGACGCCACAGCTGCACACGTCACACCCGAATTTTTCAAGACATGATGAAATATTTTAAAACTAAACAGGCTTAAGGTTGCTTACTTTTCAGAAATGTCCCCTCTTGCCAAAGCGAAAATCTCACGAAATTTTAGTTGTGCCAACTTTTTAAAATATCATTCGGGAAAACTGTAGCCAGAGAGGGCAATTTGTTGTCAAAATTTTCACAGCAGCTACGTGGCTGCTAAGCGCGACACTTATTACCTTCATCAGTCTGCGAAAATATATATTTTGAACTGGACTACTAATTTGCGTTATCATACATACAATGCAAAATTGTGTAAAAAGCCCTAACTTTACTAGAAAAACTCATTTTGTTTTATACCATCACTACACGCGCAAATACGGGAAAAGAAGATACAACTTCTTGGGGTGGGGTGCGCAGGGTAAGCCCAAACCAAGATTCTCCTCATCCCACTGAAAACTCTTTTCGCTCTGGAACCCAGCGCAGGCAAGTACCAATACCATCCCAGTATACCTTGGCAATCTACTTTTGCTTATTAAAATTCTATGATCTGAAATTCTGTGTAACAGAATGATTTGCTTGATCTCATGGAGGTTGGACGTGAGACATATCTACAATGGAAAAATTTTGCCAATCAACTTTAGAAAGCTACTAGCCATTTAGTTTTAGAAGTATAGTTCTTCTTTTGAAATTTTAATGTTCATGATGCATTATTGTTAAACAGATAAACTCAGTGGAGTAACGGACCAAAGTTACCTTTTGTTAAATAACTAAGATCCCGCACCTTTAGGGGCCCCCAGCAACAATTTTTCTTTGTTACTTTTCCTATGCGACGCAGCTGCTCGTTACGCCACTAATAAAACTATTTGGCATAACGATAACAGCCTTGATAGAGCTGTACCAAAGACATAGTTATCTAGGGGGTGCTAAAAATCGGTGCCTTATAGCTAATTTTGAGTTCGCAAAGTTATGGCTAGCGTTGGCCCCTATAAGTTTGGCTCCCAGCTAGCGCCCCCCCCTTCCCCCCTTCCCCCGATTTTAAGGCTAGATTCGCCACTAATGGTGTGGTATTTAAACATTAACCGATGGAGTTTTTCCCCAACCCTCCTGACTTCTCCGTTGCACTCATTGTTGCACTGCACTGTCTCTGATGTCTCTAGACCTTATGACGTAATACACTCATCTCGGTATCACGTGCAAGTAACCCTGACGTGACCCTGTGATGAAGGAAGTTGAAGGAAGCACTGATCCTTCGATTTCAAAATGAAAGTTTTTGTTTGGTATATGTAGAAAGTTGGCCAACTGAAAGCAAGACAAGGAAAAAAATCCAGAAAGTTGCAGCAGTCCTACAAGGTATTGTTTGCAGTATAATTTGTTGTTTAAATGCTGTTATATTCCCAACCCTTTGTACCATATTACTGTGTTTATATTAACCTAGAGGGGTTTTAACGTTTATTGCCTTGTATGTAATATGGACGTTATTTTGTCCTCTAGTTTTAGTTCACCAACCAGCATAATATGATCTTTAAAAGTTTGTCTTAGGGCTCCAATTTGAGGATACACATATTATTGAGACTTAAGCCCCACAGATTCAGATAAGGCATCCAGTTCTTAGAATTTAGTGGAATACAGAATTTTTTCCATTAGTACATAACTTTATGGAGAAAACTTCCTTGTGTTACACTGGCTGGCCAGACATCACCACGCTCAGCAGATGACATAAATAAATGCTTCCAGTTTTCTTTTTAACAGTAGTTTCAGAGAGAGTGTGATATCATTCAGGTTTTTGCAGAAAATATCATAGGATGGAAATCCTTTATACAATATAGTCCCCCCCCCAGAACACATGAAGCTGAGAAATGACAAAGTAGGGACAGCCATGATCCATGCTCTACTGCCATGTGTGTACCCAGTAAGATTAGTTTTTGCTGCATTTGTTTAACTTTTGCCCAGTTCCTTAAGATTCTGCTGTCCTATTTTTAAGCAGGATGAATTGATGTCAACTGGTAATAAAGAAAGATTTCTATGATTCCCGGGTTTGCTGAAGAATCTGTAGAATAGAATCCGTGGAATCTGTAGAATGCTGAAGAATATTAGATATCTAGTTTTGAATTGATGTGTTTCATTCAATATTTGGGACCACTCGGAAAATTGTCCTTGCCAATGGAATGGAATTATAATATGATATTTTTCATCTCGTGGGCCACAAAAACTCTCTCCTCTGGCCAGATTCTGGTCTGTATATCGTAGGTTGTTTGCCCCTGACCTAAACATTTCATTACTGAAATCCAGCCAAAGATAATATGTTAAATATTTAAATTGCAGGTGCCAAGCCTTTGTGATCATCCAAAGATGGAGAAAAAAGAATATTTGTATAAAATTCTAGTCATTGGAGATAATGCTGTTGGAAAAAGCAGTATTGTGAGAAGATATGTCCATAACTTTTTCACTGATCGATATAAAGCAACTGTATCCTTCCTCATTAAACCATTTCAACTATTTACAACAAGACCTTGTACTTTGAATGCATTATTCTGTATGATTGTTCCTGTTCTATTCTCTAATATTATCTTTCATCCAATTGAATCAGTGATTAGTGATATCTGCAGGGAAAATATGAGTACGTGTTTTCAGAAGCTCTCCAGTGCAGAGCATGAGGTCAATATGAGATCAGTTTCAGTTTAAAATTCCACTACATAAATAGGTAACAATATAAATAGGTAACAATTAGGTAATAATAAAAGTTAAATAACAAAAAGTTTCTGCGAGACAGAACAGTACAAGACCCTGGTGATTGGAGCTCTAACCCAAGGCAACATCCACACCAATGACCCTGAATTCCAGTGCCAACCAAAGACAACCAATACCACCATCCTACTTAACCAGCCCCCACTTATAAATTAACTATGTTAACAGCTAAAGGGATTTGTATGCAGGGGAATTTCTTGAAGGAGGAACATTCTCAGTAGCTAGGCTAATCAAGGAGAGGGAACCCTCTATTTTGGAATTTATTGATATTGGCAAATAGTTAAGGGCATTCAATCAACTTTATTTTGTAGCGTAAAGTTTTGGCCCAAAACAGTGATCTGATTGATTTCAACAAAGCAGTTTGGTGTTTTTTAATCATGTCTTCTTGTAGTGAAAAGCAAATTATTCAACAAATATCTGGTCATTATTACATGGTCATTCTCAATTTTTATCCATGGGAAAGATGGAATTAAGGCATATTTTCAAAAAATATTATTAAAGATTTGGCCCAGGTCATCATCAGATTCACCCTGACTGTATAAGACTGCAAATGCTTTTCGTTTTAGGTAATAAAAATTACTTTTTTTACTGGTCTGTCATTAAGTAACCAAAGACACAGAACAGGTAGGTTCTACACTGCTGCTTTGAGTTTCATGCTTCATGTTTGTAGGTATACTGTGTTATGGCAACTTAACTCTTCTTCGCACCCAGTTGAGAGCTGTTTAAAACACTTTCTTGATTTCCTTTAGAAGTTTCATTTTCTGTTTTTTATGGTTAATTGCTTGCTAGTTTCGTTTTCCAACAGTTTAACTGGTGTTACCAACTTTCTTTTTATGGTGCGATATTTTTAAATCTGCCAGTATTGAAATTTATTCAGCATGCATTTGCTATAGAAATCAAATCATTGCGACAGATAGGCCTGGTCCCTTGAGGCCAGTTACATCACCTCCCCTTGCTAGTTGAAAAAGTGTAGATTTGATTTTTAATAAAGATAAAAAACTTATAAATAAAATAAAAAGAAGGAATAAAAAATAATATTTTTCTCTTAGATTGAGTGTTGTAAATATTTAGATAATATTCGAGCACACAAATATTCTGAATATCCATTAGTTAATTTGCATGAAAAAATCGTCTTGACTTAACCTCGACCTGATAGTTTCAAAGAAAATGACGATTTTTGTATTTCTTATGCCCATTTACAAGGAGCAAAATGGCAGGGCAGAAATTGGAATCAGGATTGTGCTCTAACAAATGCATGTAGACTGTTCAACTTTAAAAATATCCTGCCAAAAATGTCTTTGAGACTGGCATTTTTGTTTCTAAAGATGTGCGATAACTTGAAGTGTTGCTGTAGAAAATAATTTAATTTTTCTCATTATGTGCCAATTTGGTGCTATTTTTTTCTTTGCTTTGATTGATTTAGTTTTTGTTTTTTTCCCACAACTTGAAAACCTCAATGCTGGCTAAAAGTTAAACTGAATAGTGTCATGAAAAGCCAGTGTTATCGATTTGTTATTCTGAATTTGTGCTATGGCTTCATACATCTTATATCCTTGCAAGATTCTTCACATCCAGGAGAAAGCTTACTGCACTGTTCCTCTGTATTGACAAACTATAATAAATTAACTTTGAATAAGAATGTTTTCTTTAACATCATCCAAGATTGGAGTAGATTTTGCCATGAAGGTGTTGAATTGGGGCGAAAATACAATTGTTCGGCTACAGTTATGGGACATTGCTGGTATGTATCTAAATGGAATTGAAATGTCATAGTCTGCTTCTGCTTCCATAAAGGTTTTTTGTGCTTTTATAGTTAGATTCCAAAATTGCTAGATGGAACGGTGATCGGGCTTTACCAAAAATCCGAAACATATCACCAATATAGTTTTTTGCACAATCTAGGTTTTCCAGTAAATGCTACGGCTGCCTGATAGTGGAATCACATATTTTAGTTGTACTTTTAGATCTGTAAGACCAAGGTGGCTGTTCTTTTTGGGTATGAGTTTTGTTTCCAATACTAGACGGAACACACTGTTTTATTCTATTCTCCAATATTTGGGTAGTGCATCCTACATAACCAGAATCACACTCGCCCCTAAATTCATATAATTGCTCCTCCTCCTCTCATTGGCTACTTTACCCAAGCAGGGACCAAAGGCCCAAGTCAGCTCTAGCTCATATAAAATCAATAGGTTTTTTAAAACTTGATTTAAGCCAATTTTTGAAATTCATGTTTACCTTTGTGTATTTAATTTTTAGAAATTTTTTATCATTATTATTTCAGGCCAGGAGATGACAAGACAACTAAATAGAGTAAGAGTTTAATTAGTTTTAGCAGTGCTTTTTCAAACCTTAGCATTTTCTAGAAAACATAGAAAGTCTTTGTTTTAGATGCATAAATTGCACATCAAGACATTAGCTGGTATAAGATGCATTAATAATGTTAATCTATTCTGATGTTATCATTTATTAAGTTTCTTTGTGAAAGTCATGATATCCAGCCTTAGAATTAGGACCTGCAAGTCAGAGAAAAAATTAATATGAAGTATGCATCATGAAAATGGTGGAAATGCCTTTTAAGTATTATTGAAAGAACCACAGACAAATGTAATTTTGGATCAATTGTCTCAAGGACTCAAAAAGCGGTGGCTTTATTTTGATTAACATGACCAATGCTTCCTATAGAACTATCAATGCTACAGAATCAAGCCTTGCTCAGTGGTGAACACCTGGGCAAGGAGGGCAGTCCCCCCCCAATATTTTGGAAGACAATGGGCTTTTGTTCTAAAACAATGGGGAAATATGACATCATGACGATTTTCTTTAACATTATTATGTTATTGCTTTTATTTGATCTTGATTAAACCTCTTGAGATGATTTTTATCTGTGAAACCAACAATGTGAAAATTAGTCTAGCAAATCGATAGCCAACTTTCTTTCTTTCTTTTTTCCCAGGGGGTGAGCCCCCAAATTTTTGTCAGGAAGGGCTCAAGCCCTGGAGCCCCCCCCCCCCATAAGTCTGTGCCTATGCTAACTGATATACTTTTCATCTTCTGAATAATGAATTTGACCTTGAAAATATTTTCTTTCTTGAAGGTGTTTTATAACGAAGCATCTGGGTGCATAACAGTTTATGATGTAACAAGGCCATCAACCTTCAAAGCTGTGGCAGATTGGAAGAACGAAATAGATGAAAAGGTGCAGCTACCAAATGGACAACCAATACCTTGCATTTTATTTGCTAATAAGGTGTGGAAAGATAATAAAATAATTATTAGCGAATAATGTGATGCTAACCAAGAGTTGTAACATAGAAATCGAATTTTCGTGAATATTGCAGAAAAGCAGAAAAATAGCAGCCTGAATTACTATTCTTCAAATACAGAGTATAAGCTTTGAATAGTGGCCAAAGACAACCGCCAATGTTTATCCAGGGGTGGATCAAAAGTAACTTGAAAGGAAGTATGATGGGTTTGATTTGTTTATCGTTTTGACCAATCAGCAACCTCTAAGCACTCACATAGTTAAGTGTCAGAAAGAGTTTGTTTCCTCTCTTGGACTCTTCAACAATGGATAGGAACAGGAATAGACTCACATATCATGGGTCAAGAAGGAAGGAGTACTAAAATGTTTGCAATATGAGAAATATATTTTGTCAAATATTGAAAGTGCCTTTTGGGGGGCTGGGGTAGGGACTTTTGCTGAACCCAACGTGCATGTGCGTCAAATTTTTTGGTAGGAATTTAAGTTCGGCAGCTGCATAGTTGTTCAAAAACTTTCTCAACTATGTTTTAAGTATTACTTTTCTGTTTTTTAACTTTTCTTTTAACAGTGTGATGTAATAGACGGTGGCGATGATACAATTGATACACCTCCGCAAATCGCAAAAGAAGTCATGGATGAATATAGCGAAAAGTTTGGCTTTGCTGATTGGTTTCTAACTTCAGCAAAAGAAAACATAAATTTAGAAATTGGAATTAGGAAATTAGTCAGCAAGGTGAGCTTTTAAAGTCTGCCCATGGGTATTTGAGCTGTTAAAATATTGCAACAAACGCATATCACTTGATGCTGATATTTGCTATAAAATGCGTCATACTGTACTAAATGCAAGCAAAAAAACATCCTAGCAGCATTAAAAGTAGAAATGACGGCTTGTTAGAAATTTGAAAAAAAATTACATAGGATAAGCTCCGAAACGTCTGAATGGCTAGCTGCTAAAGTCCTATTAATAATAGTATGTTTGAAATCTAATGCTTGAACTGGCCCAATATGAAATTTGCTGATGAGTTTTAGCCATTTAGCCTGAGCCTCCTTTCAAAACGTTTTGAGAGTGTGTTCTAAACTTTTATATTAAAAGGGGGCTGGAATCAACAAGATGCTTGGAAAATTCTGCACAAACCAATCGAATAGGTTGGAAAAAGGGAGGTTGGAAATAGGGTTGTCGGTGAGAAAATCAGAAAACAAGAAAATCTAATAACCTTTTGTCATTAGATATTGTCTCAAGTCTATGTGTTGTTCCATATCCTCTCAAAATTGTGTGTCTTATTTATTGAAACCGCCGTTGTGAACGCGCACTTTCTTAAAGCATATCCCTCATTTTTATTATGCACTTACGGAGATGCGTGTTTGTTGGCTCAGTATATGGGTACTGGAAATCAGTGGCGTAACGGCGGCATCTGGGAAAAAACTGAGACGGGGTCCCTATTACGGACTACAAGAAAGTCCTAACCAACGCTTGCAAACATAAATCGCTTGCAAGAAGGACAATGATAATTTTTTGTTGCTAGCAAGAAAGGGGGGAGTGATAGAAGCTTCAACTGAAGAACTTAAAAGGTGATATTTTAAAATGATGTTAACTTCAGGAGAATCTTGAAAACATTGATAAAAAAGATAATTTGGGGCCCCTTTTGGTGGGGGCCTTTAGTTATCAAACTAAGGTGCCCTAAACTGCGTAATGTCACTGTTAAAAATGTTATTCTAACTTTTGGCAGGATAAATGTATGCTTTGGCTACAGGATTCAGAATCTAGTGTATTATCAAATCGCGATGCTGTATTTTAACCACGAGAGAAACTGCAGATGCCCTTTTCACCAAAAGGTTGCAACATGTATGGCTTACAATCAGGGTGTTGAAATTATCATGCCATCCTTTTTTAAATACGGTATAATGTTTATCTTTAATGGTTCATTATTTGGAGCCGTCTCTTTATTTTGGTACTATCTAATCTATGCCCAAACACTTGATTCAATAAAACTGGCTTCAAATTTTCTAAAAATTCCAAAAAATTACATAACTAAGACAGGTATGAAGCTGGCCTTGAACCAAAGATTTATCTAACAAAATAATTTCAAATCACTTTTTTTTCTTATTTCAGATTTTAGAAAATCACAGCCGTTTAGATGTAGAAAAACCCATAAAACGGGCCGAGAATAACGTTCAGCTAAAAGGAGCACCAAACACGAAAGGAAATAAAACAAACAAGGAAGGTTGCTGTTAGCTTGTGTGTAGATATCGTCCATTTTATCATTGCAATCAGCGGTGAAGTATATAAGAAATCGAAGTTGGCATGGCTTCCTCTTTCAGCATATTTGTTTCGTCTTCATGTCTCGTAATTTGGAATGCATAGATTTAAAGCCTTTTGTAATTAGCTCATTGTATTTGGATAATTGTATTGAACTTGTATTTTTTTATATTGCGATTAACAGAGTTATACTTAGATGTATGTTGTGTTGTCATTAACATTTCCACACCAAATTTAACTTTGTTGTGGTTTTTTCGCAAAAAATAGTTTTCTTGTTGAAGAACTTAACCCCCTACCATCGACTTATCTGGCCATGCAATTGCATTACCAGTGTTTTCTATATGGGTTGCGAAAATGAGTGTTTGTTTTAAACGGGCCTGCTGCACTGCTCTTCGACATTATCAAGGCATTTTTATTTTGGCTTTTGATAAGCTTTATTTTTGGGCAATGGTTGAACGGGAAAGAAAGAGGAGTAATAAACTGCTTTCGAATCTTCCTTGTTAAATCATGAAACCCCTCCATCCTTTTGGGTTACGACACTGAGATCACTGATTCTTTTTAAAATTCTTGTTCTCTCGTTATGTTCTCTCAAATCTTATTTTTCGGAACAGTTTCTTCACCCGTCCTTGCTTGTCGTTTGCTTTGCATTTATCAATGAACTCCTGCACAACGGTTTGAGACCCCTTGCCCTGGCCTAGCTATAGGAAATGCCCTCTCCCAGACCTGGTCTATGGGCAAATATGTTATTTGGATAACTTCTATGAAATGAGAAAGCGAGCGAATACTCAGTTAACTTTGATTTTCTCATTTTGACAATTGTACCAGGCCTACCCCCGCTGATGAATTGTTCATACAGCTAAAAGTATTTTATTTTTTTATTCTAAGATAACCATTTTCATTATTTTAATGACTCCTCAGTCTTTTCATTTAAAGAAACTATGTTTAATATCTAGATCCCTCCTGGTATGCTTTATTGTTTCTGAGCAACTACATAAATAGGCCCCTAGATGTTGCTATTTCATTAAATTCTTTTCGCAGTTTAATGTGATCGAGACGCCTCTAATTTATAGCACATGAATTATTTTAAGTATTTGAAAATAATTATAGGGAAAGCAATTTTTCATAAGTTTGCTTTGTTATCAAATATATGATACTTCTCTTTGAGATCCCTTCTTATTCATTCGTTTATGCAAGTACACAAAATTTTCATCATGAAATTCCTTGAGCAGCACACAATGATCTATTATTGAAGATATGTCGTTATATATGATGTTTTTAGTAATGTGTTAACATTTTTTTGTTGAAAAAAGCAAAACTTTTGTTTTTGATTTTTCAAATGCGTTTATAAATCAAACAAAATCACTTAGAGCCTTTGAAAATCATGTAAGCTGCAATGTGATGGTGAGGGTATATTTCAAGATAGTCAAATAAGTAAAATAATTAACCTATTATTATGAAAGAATGAAAACAATATACCGTAAGTCCTCGAATAATCCCCCACCTTTGAATAACCCCCCTCGAATAAGCCCCCACTCCTTGAAGTAATTTTTGTGAAATAATCCCCCATCCTCGAATAAGCCATAGGTTTTTTCCCAATTAAATCTGCATTTTCAAGCATACTGACAAGTATCGAATAGAGAAAGAAAATTTACCATGGTAATATTCTTTGCTGCTGCTAATAAGCCCCCTCCTTCGAATTAGCCCCCACCAATAGGCCCCTACCCCAAAATATTTTTTTGCGAAATAAGCCCCCGGTAGCTTATTCGAGGATTTTCGACAAATGTAAAATATTGATATCTGCCAGGAAGACGAATTTGTGACAAACCTACGTTAAAGGTGTTGCCACCATCACGCAAAAAAAGGTCGGAAAGAACAACAAAATTTTTAGTAATGACTGAAGACTCAACTTAAAAACAACATGCACAACATGTTTATAAACATGTAAATGATTTGAGTTTGGAGTTATTGTAAACGTTTGCATTGTTTGTTATAGAAATATATTGATATATTGTAAAAGATTGAGCATTTCTAAAGCCGAAGGAGGAAACACTAACAAAACATTAACATTTTAGTGACAAAACACACCAAATTCGAAAGAAAATAGGTTTAAAAGGTGTTAGCTTGTTGTATTAGAAGTAGGGGAAGTTGCCGAAGAGGCTTTTGCGAAAAGAAAACACGGAGAAATGTGTGCATATGTTTTATGTAGCAATATAAGCAGATAGAAATGCAGCTTTTTAAATCATTGGGGAAATTTATTCAAAATGCAAAGCCAAATATTAAAATATATATTGGAAGTACGTGAGAATATAGGATATAAGTATTTGCCTACTCGTATCATTTCTTTTAACTAAAGAATTTTTTAACCAAAATGACTCATAAAATTTTTCACATTATACAAATACATAGAGATATAAACATATAATAAAATGCACTCATCTTATTTTGGCTTTCCTTGTCGCAAAATGCATTTGTAAAAAATAGAAGAAGATGCAATAATGTGCAAGTAAAAACGTATGCAAAGATTTTTTTACTTGTTGGCCTTCCGCTTTTTAATTCTAGACAGTTCATTTAAAATCCAAATAAATTTTCAGTAATTTAATCAGTAATTGTTACCATCATATTCAAGTAATAGCGCTTTATCGTTGCTGCAGATACGGTATTGTCATTGCCACTGAGAAAACCACCGTATCCGCAAAAGTTTCACGAATAAAATCACATATTTCAAGAGGTTTTTTCACAAACAGTGCTGTAACACAGAATGAAAAATGTATGTGGCCGATCATTCAATGGTCGAATTGTTGCTGGTTTGCCTTATGCTTGCGGGTATATTTGAGTTATAGAAGTCGTTTACAGTTGGCCACCCGAGCACACAACCAAGCCAAAGTCACAACCAATGGTTTGGCGAAACTTTAGCCTATTTATTTAAAGGCTATTCCAAGAAATTACGTCATTGAAGATGAATCTATTATGAATCGGCGTTGTAGAGTGGAGAAATGGGATGTTGTATATAGTTCCAGCAAGAAGAAGATTGTTTTAACCTTTTAAGAGTATGTTTGAAATTCAAAAGTTTATATGATATCTAGTGATTCTTACTCATCTTTGGCTCTACACCAAATTGTACAGGATCGACATTTAATTCGCCAGATATTTTTTTCGTTGTGCTCCTGAATTAAGTGATGTTTCTTAACATTTGGGATCTTTTAAGTAAATTTGATTTCAAATCATCAAAATTTATACAGATACAAAGAAAATTTTGAAGCTGTTCTTTTGTTTCCAAAGAAAGATTCAAGAAAGTCTTTGCTTTAATGAAAGTCTTTGGGAAAAGGCACAGTAAAGTAGAGGTCAAGAAGAGCTTGACATTGAGAAATTGGAAAGGGCTCGTAGTAGAGAAATTGCGTAGCCTTCAATATTTCTTGGGTCTTCTCCCAGGGCCCCATCAAGCTTTTCCTTTGGTGGGAACATCATCCCCGATTTCACAACGATTTACAAAAGAATTTCTTAGTTCTGTCTTCTTCGTAGCCCACAATATTTTTAATTATGCATAGCTTTAACATATGTCGAAAGGGGCATGCGAAAAGGAAATTATAACAGTGGCAGTATGTGGCTGGGCGCAATCTTTTGAAGAAGAGGGGCGCTTAGCCTGAGATCTAAGGGGCGCTCCCTCCCTTAAATCCGCCAATTTTGTAGCTGCGTATTCCACCTCCTTCCCACTGCTTTTGCTGCCAGCTGAAATAATGGCGGCAGCCGCCCTTCTCTCGAATTCAATGGCACGTCTCATAATTGGGACTGGCGAAGAAATTTTGTATCAGTGTTCATGCAAAACTTTAAAACCCATATCAAGGCTGTATTTCTGTAGACACTGTTCAAAGCTGAGGTGTCCTGAGTGTGTTTCTCATGAGGTGAGTGGGTGTAGGTGGTATTTTGAAGGCCAAATTGGTGATAACAGGCCTAGGAAATATTTTGATATTTTTTCTACTCGTCAAGAATGCGTTTATTATTATTTACTGCTGGGGCTCAATCTTTCCATCATTTAGAGTTTTCAAAACTACCAGGGAAACAAAAAAGGCGTTTTCACCAAATATCTAGGATTGTTTTCGTCCTAACGACATCTGACTTGACGATTCTGTTCAAAATATGCTTTGATGGTCTGCATGAAGACCATCATTCATATCACTGGCATTCTGCACCTTTAGGCACCTCATTTCTCGGAAGCTTTTTAAAACTGAAAAAATCCATGTTCTTAAAAAAGTTCCATCTGGACCAACTTACTATTTCTGTTATTTTGTCAATCAACAATTTTTTGCAAGAATGGGAGAGTAGTTTTCTTTGATTTTATTTGTAAGCTGTTAACATGTAGATCTAGCAGCTTTCTTATTTTGAAAGTGAAGAAAATTCTTCAGATACTTCAACAGGTTAAATCTCATAAGCATTCGAACAAGATTTTTTAATGGTTTCCAGAATAAATCATCACATTTTGAAGTCAGCCGCCATAGGCATAGCAGATACTAAAGGTTTAAAGGGGTTTAGTTCATATGGATCTGGCCTGAATTTTATTGCTTGATCAGAAAGAACTGCCAGTTGGGGCTCTGAATGTGATGACTTTTGCCTTACTAGTGGGCTGCAGCCCCCCAGCCTCTGTCTTCTTGGCCCATGTCAGTCACAGGTCTATAAAGATCTATATAGATCTATATAGATTATTCTTTAATTCTTTCTGCCAGCACATATATCTGTCACAAACAGCCATTAAGTAACCTCAGCATGACAAATTTCTAGAATCTTGAGGAAATTCAGATGTAGAACACCTGAAGTGAAAAACTTAGGCAGCTTAACTAAAAAACATGAAAAATCAGAAATAGCCATAGATACAGAACTTGTTTGGAGAATTAACAAACTGTTATTTAGCTTAGTTTATAGAAATTAAAAGCAACCTGCAATATTAGAAAAGGACATACAATCAAGCACAGAGCATTTTCAATGGCATTAATATATCTGTGGAAAAGCATTTTCACTGCCCTTCTGCTAGAATTCTTGCTACCAGGATCATTTCCAGCTATTGGTCTTTTCCTTTTTGTAGGTTGATTCCTATTATTGTCCAAATTGCCTGGAGAACATGCCCTCTGCAGAAGCAAAGCTGAAGAAAAATAGGTATCAGTTTTAAATTTTCTGCAAACATATTCCAACACAGGCCTTTTTCATGATTCAAGCAGTATTTGGAGCTACCACTGTAAAAAAGAATGACTCTTTTTAATTTTTTGTTTCTTGTTAATTGTTTATAAAATCTTTTGCTTGGAATCACAAAAATATGATTTTATTGTTACTCTTTTCAGGTGTGGCAACTGTTTTGACTGTCCTAGCTGCTCAAACACATTAGTAATCCGTGCAACAGCAATCAATGTACCAAGCAGCCCACTTGGCTCAGCAACTGAATCCGGAAAATCTCCTGCCACCAAGAAGATGCATTATCTGTTTTGCTCATTTTGCAGATGGACCTCAAGAGATGCTGGTTTAGAGGATCAGCCAACAGGTGCTTAATCCATTTTACATTCATGTAGCTGGATCTGTTTGTATCACTTGGGTTTGTAGCTTGAAATTGTGTTTACATGAGCTAGTGTTTTGAAAATGCCAAGGAGCTTGATCTATTGGTACTGATGTTGAGCCCAATTAAAGCACTTGGTGCTGGAAACTCTAAAGATATGTTTGACTCCTGCTGTTTTTAACCTAAACTATTTCATTGGTACTTCAGCTTTCTAGATTTGATAAAGCCATTACAGATAATACTGAACATATTTCTATAAGATAATTTTAACAATGGTGTACTTTTGCTGTCACTGTACAGATATTTTTCAATTTAAATTTGATGCTGAATGAAGTAGGCCAAATTTTTTTGCCCTTATAGCAAGAGGTTTTGCAGCTGAAAGCGCAAGTCACCCACAAGTTTTGCTATTGGCACTTTTCATAGTTAATTTGTTTTCAATTTTTTATAGCAAGTGGCGGTTGGCCTGAATTGGAGCATCCAAATGCAAAGCATGTATGTACCCAATCTAGTTGCTCTCATCTCTTTCCATTTTGAGTAAACATCAAACTACATCTGTCTTTAAACAATTTGATGTAGGATAATGATAGAAAAATTTGTGTGATTCACCATGTTTTATTTGATTCGTGTAATCTTATTGTCATTTTTAGGCAAAAACAAAATAGTGAATAAAATCAGAAGCCAATGTCTATGATTTACATTAAATGATATTTGTGTTTCTTAGAGATTCTCACAACTAATACCATTCATAATGGGTTCTATGTCCTGTGCATTTTTCTTCCATGGAATATGCTTGTATGAAACACATAGCATATACTTGCAATGGTGCGAGGGGAGCAACATGAACAGGCTATTTATGGTCACATGATCTAGCCAGCTTTTTGTCTAGGTTGGTTTATGTTAGCTTCCAGTTGATCCTGATAATGGCACTCATACCTTTGCCAGGCCAATTTATGTGCCAGCGCAATCCTTTTGTCAGAACAATTCCTGTGCCAGAACAATCCCTGTGCCAGCGCAATCCTTGTGCCAGCACAATTCCTGTGCCAGACAGGCGGCATGCCTTGTTGTTTGTAATATGCTTTCATTTTCGCTGCCAAAAAAATCAAATTCTTATGTGCCCAAAATTACGCAACACCGTATTTTGTAAGTTGGAACAAAGAAGATCAATTTTTAGTCAAACTAAAGGAAAAGGGCACAAAAAAATTGCCTAGGAACAATATTTTGAGGTCTCTCAAAGTCCATGGCCCTGCAAATAGTGTCTGTCAAATTATCTTGGTATAATATAAGAATCTAATTCCAGTCTTCTTTGTTACAGATTTCAGCATTAACTGAGTATTACAAGCATGTTGCACATCAGGAAAAGCTGGAAAGGGAGAAGAAAAAACTAACAAAGCGCCGGACATATCTCCATCTAATGGTACTGTAATTTTCAGATATTAAGCATTCTAGTACTTCTACGAAAAAAATATTTATGAGCTTCAGCAAGTGTAAAAAAGCCAACTTTCTGTTAGATTGTGATTGATATCATTAAAATAGTTTTTTGTCTGATTTATAAGCTGGTAAATGCAATTAATTGATTCTTAAGAAGGACAGTAAATCAACAGGTATGACTGATGGGCAAACTGATGTATTTACTTGGCACGTTGCTTTTGCTATTTTAAAAATTAGAAAGATATGAGGTATTTAATAATGGAGACCTGTTATTACTATAAATTTGCAAGTTATCCAAGACAGATCTGTCAGTATTTCTTTTTCCATAGAACGAGAGTAATTAGAGAACTATAATCATTTCCACAATTTTAGTCCTATTTGATTTGAAATTGTAGTTATCCTTTGGTTTTATTTTAAATCATTATGGTTTGAATTTAGTAAAAACTGATGGACTTATTCCCTGCAGGATCGGTATGGCCTAGCCTTGTCTCTTGGCAAAAAGAAGCCTGGGTCTCCTTCATCTGCGCTTGCATCAGCAATTCTTGGCAAATCGTAAGTAACAACATGAAATGATGCTAAAGCTCCAATTAATTAAAAAGACTGTATTCGAGGATTTTCAAAATTAATTTTTTTTCAATTTTTGTATACTTATCTCTAAGTTCAACCTTGTTGGTAACATAACAAAATAAAAGCAGAAATATTTTCATACAACTGTATCACCCAATACAAGGGCTCATCAGCGCTCCTGATGACCCCAAAGCTGACCCAGGGCTAATCATTAATCTTTCAATGGTGATGGGAGTGTAAGATGGAAAACAACTTAAGGAAGTGCTTCTTAGCTACATTTAAGCTGACTGGTTTTCTTTAATCGATATCATAAATACTTTTCCTTGGTCTATCAGACATTTTGAATTCAATTGTACAATGTAACACCAAGAGAAAAACTCTGTTCAAGACCCAAAATGCAATGTTAGCCTTCTGTCTATTGCTGTGCTGTTTGAAGCAATATATTCCACTAAACTTTTTTGAAACATCTCTAAAGCCCTGTTTCCTTGTACTGTTAGTTAGGCATCCCAAAATGTAACAATCTTTAATTATTGGATGTTCTCCTTCCATATCTTTATTCAAAGCCATTGCGGTATACCTTTTCAGACTCAATATGTTTAAAGACTATGTGGAGCAACTCAATCTACCTACAAACTGGTAATGCCAAACAAAATGTCAAATCTTGTCCATTGGCAAAGTTTTAATGTTAGCCTGAGTAGAAGAGCAGCGTAAAATCAACTAATTAATCGATATATCAATGATTAATGAGGTCAGTTATTGTTCCACAGGAAAGTAAGCGAAGTAGCTCTTCCAAAACTCGATGAACCAGTTTCAGAAGTCGAAGAATTGCCAGATGAATATTACACTAAACAAATTATCATTGAAGAAGGTAAAATCTTTGAATTCATTAAAATCAAACTATCATTTGATTGCTATTTAGTTATGCACTGTATTGATTTCAAGTTAATCTTAGCTCATTAGTATGATAAATATTTGTGTACAACATTGCTATGGCAAGAGCCTAGCAGGACGCTCAAGTACAGTAGTTATTTTGGAGAAAAACAATCAGGAAATTTGCTCAATTTTTGCATGATGTTCATCTCATAGAAAACTCAATCTTCAGTGTGTAGTTTATGCAGACCGAATTTATGTTTTGTTTTAAGGCTGTTGTGTTATAAATTCTGCTTATAGTTGTTTGAATCAGATCAAGTTTTAGTTTTTGTGTAATTCTTTATCAAGTCATTATCAAGTCATCAAGGCAAAATTTCATACAACTTTGATGACAACAACTCTGTCACAGAACTCCTTTTAGCCTCTTTACGCGATGTTATGAAAACGATTACTGCCGTTATCACTGTCTTATCTGATTATCATTTCAAATTCGAAATAGGCAAGTTTCCAGTTTTCTTCTTCTATCTATCTTTAACTGCAACCTGGAAGATATTTTTCTTTTCACTAGTCTACAGTGGAACTACATCTTAATCACTTTTTGCATTAGAAACATTTTGATTACTGCTACTAGACACAGGTGACAATCAACATCCAAACTATATGGAGCACTATTTCTCTTTTGGACTTGATGAAAAGAAAAATTTTGTAATAATTTTTCTGAGATATATTTTATTCAGAATTTATATAATTTTTTGCATTTATTTTAGACCACTAAGTTGATGTGAATAAACATCATCTTGCTAATTTCGGGTCTTATCGCTTGATCTTTTTGTTTTAGTACCCTCCATCCAGCAACGCTTAGCACATCCAGTCAAACAGCCTTCGGAGTGCAGGTAGGGATACCCATTCGATTCATGTCAACACCTTAAGTAATGAAGCAGTCAATTTGACCTTCTTCTCTGCCTTCTATGAGGATCAGTACAAAGATTTGTACCTGCATCCAATATTCAATTTGCTCTTTTTCCCTCTCCTCTTTCCCGTCTCCACGCCTTCCATCCTTTTCTTTTCATTTCGTTACCTCACTACATTTTCCTCGCCACCCTTATCCTTCTATCTTTCCTTCATATTTCCCTTCCCAAAACCCGGATTTTTGCATACATATGCTGACGTATATTTGATTGTGCACGTGTACTGGATTGAGTGAAGTAGAATTATTACGCAACACAAAGAATAGGATTGAGAGAGAGAGAGAGAGAGAGAGAGAGAGAGAGAGAGAGAGAGAGAGAGAGAGAGAGAGAGAGAGAGAGAGAGAGAGAGAGAGAGAGAGAGAGAGAGAGAGAGAGAGAGAGAGAGAGAGAGAGAGAGAGAGAGATATTTGAGTAATTCTTGCTTTAAAGCATCCCCATCTTCGCTCTGAGAGCCTGCGCTTCAATCCTCTTTCAACAACCTTGTTTTACCTTTACACTGTCCCTCACGCACCATTGTATTTTATAGGGATTTCTACCCAAGACACAAACAAATGCTGGTGCGGAGATCGATGCGTTGCAAGGTATGCTCTCAAAGAATTTGGAAAAAATATCACTATTTCACTTGATGCAACAAAACCGTAGTTTACACCTAATAGATGTGCTGTCCTGTCTGGTTTCTTGCTTTCATCCCTTTATGCTTTCTATGCGTTAGGTATAGTATATGTTAGAATCTTCTCATTCCAGCTCACATATTGTTTGGAATTAAAATAGCTAAATCGATTTATTCTCTTCATATTTAAATTTGTATTGGCTTGTAGCTCATTTTAAAATCCAGCCCACTTTGTTTCTAGAATATCGAAAGATTTTCCAATCCACTCTAAATATCCTTTGTGAGATTCCACTTGTACGAATTTCAGAACTTGCCTTGGGCTCTTTGCTCTTGAATTTTAAATTCCTCGTACAGTATGCTCTCGACAGAGAATCGTATCTTTTTTTCTCGGGACAATAGAATACCTTCTATTTTTCCAGGAATGCGAGCATAACCTCAGCAAACCAGAATTCAACCCATCTTCTGTGAAGTTTAAAATCCAGCTTGGTGCAATGTAAGCATGTTTATTCTGCAACTTTTGTTATTATAACCTTTTAGGTCAAATTCCAAATCTTAGTGCAAAAAATACACAATTTTGTACTGTTGTATGCTACATATAATTTGATTATCAGTAATTTAAAGTCAATTCAAGCAGATATCATTGGCATCTAGCCAACAGTTGTGAGATGACAAGAAAGATTTTACCATACACCAGATTAATCAATCATAGAGTTGTACTTTATTTGAGTTTGTTAAAATGATGAATAATTTGCAGATAATTCGAGAATATTTCATTTTATAATAAGCATTAACGTCAAATATTTGAATCAAAAATTTTATCCATTTTCTAGTGAATTTTTGTCGATCGCCTGAAAAGAAGTAACTTTCTTTTAGGAATTACACACCTCAGTTGAAAATAGCCAAGGTTCCACTTCTTAGACCTAATAAGGTTTGTGGCAGCTTTCAACTTACCTTCATAATATTCTCTTAGTGTCTTAGATATATTAAAAGCTTAATTTTTAAAAAAAGTAATTTAAAGGGATTGAATCAGACCTCATTTATCACTCGCTAAAGTTTGCCTAATTGAACTTGTAGCCTTCCTGTGTAACCGGCCTATCATAGTTTTCTCTAGTAATGATAACAGGACACAATGCTCAGAAACTCGGTACCCAGTTTCAAGCTATCTTTTACCTTGATCTATGCTGACTAATATAGGCAATGTTGCCTTTGGTTGTACACCGTTACATTTCAAAAACGGCGAGTAATTCGACCTATGCAAAAAAGGTTGTAATATCTCGGCTTTTTCGTTACATCGTTGCACGTGAACAACTTCGCAATCTTAATCTTGTCTTTTAATCTAGAGGTATATTCGTATTTTTACACTTTCTCACAACTATCTTTTTTATGTTTTAATTGGTAAAGCTTTTAGGGGTGCTGTCAAGGAGTAATGAATGAGAGAATAACATATTTTTCAGGAAGAGCAAATAGTTTTGACGATAACAAACCCAACAGACAGTGTTATGCATGTGAATTTCAGACAGGTGGAGGAGGGTGATGAGGATTTTGAGCAAAGAACTGCAGAGGTGAGAATCATCATCAACCCGAATCATCAATCATTAATCATAAATCATCATAATCACAAATCATCATAATCACACTTTGAGCTTCCTGCATAAAAATTTTAGATGCGTTCTTTTATCTAAAGTTTGAGCGTGTGTTTTTCTTCGGTTTTATCCCTTAGTCGTTAAACCTTTGGAACCCCTCTACCTTGTCACCACTTTGTGCCTGGCTTCGAAGTCTTTGGTGCTATCGTTTGCATTCCGCCAGTCTTTCTCCATTTCCAAGCCTTCAAAAAAATGTTCTAGTGCACCATGGCTTACTTTCCCTGGTACCTTTCCCAGTAAGATGCATATGTAACAAAAAAGCCAAATTTTAGAAAGCAAATAATGGCCTAACATCATTGCATCCTAAACTCTTATAAAACTTACATCATGATTAAACCACTAAATGATGTATGATTGTAGGAAGAATGGTTTTCATATGTATGGCATTTGCCCAAATTTTCCTTGTTGTTCTGGGGATAAAGCGGCAAGGGAGAGACGAAATAATAGTTTTTGGGACAGGAAATGAAAAAAAGCTATAGCATTTTGTCCTCGATTGTTGATTTTCCGAATAATCTTGGCAGGCATTGTATGGTGAAGTGTAGTAATGACAATCAATCACAGATCAGGTTACATCTGTTAACGAATAATTGCAGAAACCGACATGGTATTTTTGATAGAAGCCGACATTAACATTCCCACCTTTGTTGAATAAAAAAACGTCATAGTTAAATTCCCTGCGTTCACTGCCAGGCTGTTATTCTTTTTAGAATAATACCGTAGACCTCCTCAAATAAAGGCGTATAAATTTTTATTCTTTTACAGTATATGCCCCCGAATTTAATTTATTTCCTTAATAGAGCTGCTATCTTTCATTATAACATTATATTTCTATACGATACAGACAGATTTAAACTCCATATTATTTTGCATCTATGATTTTTCAGATCCATCTTCCCAAAGTTCCTGTCCCTATTGCTGCCAAAGACGCTTCAACAGAGTTTGATGAATTCGACGTTTCCACTGATTATTTTGAAGACGATCCCAAGTATGTTGTCATCAAATGTGTTTGCAAGCAGACGAAAATTTATTTAAATGCAACCTTGAGATGGTATTGTGACCAAACTCTGTCTCATTTTGATAATCACAATTTTACCCCAGAGTAAACTTAATACACTAAATCGACATACGGCCTCATTTTAGAAAATTCTTCGAATTCTTTTGTACAAAATTTTTGACCTTAGATTCGGATTGACAGCAATGATTTTAGTCTACTTGTAAGTTTTCATTATGATATTGCTCACGATATTGATTTTATGACGACATACAGATGAAAATTTTATAAGGGATTTGACCGTGATTGGCAACTAGGGGGGTAAAGTTTCCCCCCTAAACGATTTTTGCGGTCAAATCCCTTACATGTTTTCAAACTTCATTTCTCCGTAAAATCTAAAATACAAGTTAAATCAATATGAAAAATGGTATACCGCCCAGAAATATGACGATAAAACCAAATATGAGCTTAAAAAAGTCGTATAATCAAGTTTGGAGAAATTTCCAAGACGAGGTCGTAAGTCGAACTTTTTTACAGAGCTAAGAAAACCTTTCCAAAAATCGATCAAAGTTTGCCTAGCTCGGGATGTTTTAGCTGAATTATTTTGCTTCAATCATCTTCCTCGTGACTGTCAACTTGTTGTAATATTCGCAAGGCCCCTTTTCTTTTAAAGGTGAACTGACACGCAAAACTATTTTTTGATATAATGTAGAAAATGACGCGTAGAATCTTAATTTCAAGTTTTCGGTTAATTATTGCTTTCCGTTTCGTTGCAATTCTGCCTCAAATGTCACAAAATTATCGTTAACGACTCGGCCATTATCGGCATTTCATGTGACCTAGCGGGTGTGACGTCACAAACACCATGTTTTCATCTCTCGAATACAAATCACGCACGAAGTGACCAGACACCTTGTTAATATTCTGCTACTTTTCGACGAGATAAACGTGGCCTGTGATTGCAGATAAAGAAAATGGTTGGTTGTTCAGCTTATAATTGCACTGGTAAAGGAAAATCGTTGTTCACATTCCCCGAAAACCCTATCATACGTAGACAGTGGATTAGAAATACAAAAAGGGAAAACTTCAATCCCGGTCCAAGAGCAGCGCTTTGTCAAGACCATTTCAAGCAAACTTCCTTCGAGAGGAATCCCGAGTTAATGGAATTAACAGGCATTCGTTTTAAGTTAAAATTGAAAGCGGATGCTGTTCCAACGGAATTCGACTTCTCGTCACCCAAATTTAAGTGTAATGTCAAAGGGAAAAGACCGTATTTGGGGAGCAGGTTTGCGAGCAAATTTCAGAAACAGCTGGAGCCAAGCCTTAGCCCAAGAAAAAGCCCTGTTACTGCTGCTGGCAAAAGCAAAGCGCTAATGAAGAGAGCCCGTCATGAGGTTCGTCAAGCCATATTAATTTTACATAGCCTGTTACTGCATAGTACCTTCTAGATCATTGATTCTCAGAACACAGTATATTCGGCTTCTTTTAATTTTCATATTTAAAGCTGCACGTATTATTAAATTTTTTGGTTATGCTGTGGCAAATACTCCAAATATGCCCCTCCCCCCAGTCCGACCATGCCCACTTTTAATTGCCCGAAAGTAGTCAATTTCTACTTTCGATACTATTTTAACGGGCTCCGCCGCAGGTTAAGTGGAGAGGACAAGATAAAATATAACAATCATAACAAAAGGTTTTATAAAAGCTCCAGTGTTTTGCAAATAAGTGAGGGGGCCATGCCCCCCTTAATAAATACAAAAGGCTGAGAACAAGGGCACTTTAGCCCCCTTGCTCCTCCTATCAAAGGGCAAGAGTGCAGTTTCCCCCTCTTCCCCCCTTTCCAGCTTCCCTGATAATGTGAATATTTCTCAAACAAAATGTGAGTTTTGTGAGATGACTTTTATTATGCTATCAATGTAAAATAAAGCGGGCAGTAGGAGCTTTGGGTTTCAAGCACTAAATAATTTTCAAAACATATGAAATGTATACCAGAATGAAACTGGAGGGGCGTTGCAGTCTCAGGCTCCTTTTCAGGAAAGCAGTGATAGACACCTGGGAGGAGGGGGTGGTTGCCCCCAATATTTTTTGAGGAAAATGGGCTTTGGGTCTAAAACAATGGAACAATTTGACATCATCTTATCAAAGCAAATGGCTTGTCCCCCCAATATATGACTAAGTGTCTGCCCCTACAGGAAACTTTTTCAAGCCTGTTTTCTGCTTACAAACTTAAATAAAGGACTTTTAGGGAATTTATATAATAAATAAATTATGATTAATTTTTACATACTGGTCTAGATTGTGCAAAAGTTATTGGCAGAGCAGGCACCTCCCTCTGAAGAAGACTCTACAGAACTTGCAATGCCCTTGTTTATAGACATTGGCTGCAATACAGACACCCAACTTCCAGTTAGTGTATCAGTGCAAACAGAAAAAACAGAGACTGTAAACAGGTATACCCAAACTGAACGGAAAAAAAAGTCTGTCCATAAAGCCATACAAACAGACAGCCAAATGCATCCTTTATGTATCCATAGAGTACCAGATCAGGCGAACGAAGGTAAAATTTGATTTGTTTCTCTCATGTCATACATTTTTATTTGTAATTATTTTTGGATTTTGAATTCTGTCAACTGTAGAGTAATTTCTGTCAAAATGTTGTCAACTGATTAGATCATTCAACATACAAGAAAAATATTCCTTGCAGACTTTCCTAAAAGCAGGTAAACAGAAAAGAGAGTATACAGGCTAAATGTAGATAAAATTTAAGGGGGGGGGGAGGTAGTAGTTCAAGTCTGAGAGCACAATAGACAGTAATTTATGCCTGAGGATAATTAAGAGATGGTGTTCCTCTTTAAAATTTTTTATCTACAGTTTCACCACAATTGAGCAGTGGTCTTGCTGAGTCCCATGAGTTTTCTGAGGTAGAATCTGAAACCAGCAGTGGATCACAAAGTGAAAACTGGGATCCTCAAGCATCATCTTTCTCATCTGCCGAGTCTGAATGTGAAAAGGAGATTCCACCTCACTTTGAAAGAAAGTTCCTGGTATTTGAGTCATGTCTCCTGCAGCTTTTCGCAATTTGCTCAGTTTGTCTTGGTCCCTGTATTGATATCTCAACCTCCTTGGTGGGCTCAATGGTACAAGTTGAAGCATCATGTCTGCAAGGTCATGTAAGAAAATGGAGAAGTCAGCCACTAATTGGTGATATGCCACTTGGAAATTTTGTCATTGCTGCAAGTACATTGTTGTCAGGGTGCTCCCCAGCAAAAATATTGCTACTTTTTCACAATATGCAAACACCAAGCTTCACAGAGAGGACTTATCATAGGATCCAAAAACTGTATTTGATTCCCTCAATTTTGGAACATTGGAAGTCTGTTCAACAGCAACTTTTGAGAAGCAGTCAGGGTATCAGAACACTGGGAGGTGATGCCAGAATGGATTCTCCAGGTCATACTGCCAAATATGGGAGCTATTCATTGATGAATCTGGAATCAAACAAAATAATCAGTGTTAATACACTACAGGTAACTATGAAATGAGACCTAAAATATTCTTACAACTTTAGGTATAACCTATAAGCAAAGTTTCAGTTTAAGTCCAAAAGAGCTTTTCCAATGATTGACTATGACCTCCCTCGACTCTAAGCATGTGATGCTTTGTCTACTGATTTCCCTTTTTATTGGTGTAGAGCAATGAAGTTGGTGGTTCATATCACATGGAGCTGGAAGGTTTAAAACGTTGCTTGGATGAAGTGAAAGCTGCAGGTATTAACTTCTCGACACTTGTCACAGACAGACATGCTGGAGTTAAAAAATACATGAGAGAATGTCATTCAGACAAGAATCACCGCTTTGATGTCTTCCATGTTGCAAAATGTGAGTTGCTTTGTAACTTTGCTGCATAGCAATTGGCATTAAATAAATTCATAGACAGAAAGGTTCAACTGATTTATAAATGAATGTTACAAATCAGATGTAAAAACTCCTCCAACTCTTTAAAATATCAATTGTTGGCCAAATGTTTAAATATCTACACATTCCACTGAAATTTAATTTATAACTTCATTTGTAAATGAATATTGCTTTATTGTATTGATTATTTCTTAAAGAGTTGAAACATTGATTTACTGCTATATTCTAATCCAAATAAAATGACAATCATGCTTGAAATTCAATTACTGATATAAAATTCCTACCAGCGATTGCAAGAAAGGTAGAAGAAATTGGCAAGAAGAGGACAACAGCTGTGGTAAATGAATGGGTGCCATCAATAAAAAATCATGTATATTGGTGTGCATCAACTAGCAAAGATAGTCCACAACTAATCAAGGAAAAGTGGCTTTCTCTTTTCAACCACATCATTAATAAGCACGAAGGACATGATGGACAACTTTTTAAATGCTGTGAACATGGGCCTATGGAGCGTGAATGGTTGATAAAAGGTATCTTATGCAAAAATTTTCAAACATGACAAAAAATGTAGAATAAACAATAAACGACTTTGCGAGCCAAAAACTTGTTGGATGGGATCATGTTTAAAAAGCCTTTATTTGTGTTTGTGTTTCTTATGAGACAACAAACATTGATTAACACAAATACTCTTTTTTCAGGAAAAGCTGCATATAAAGAATTGAAAGACAAATTGACCAAAACACAACTTCTTAATGACATAGCTAAGCTTTCACCTGTGGAACAGACAAGCCATCTTGAATCTTTCCATAACATTGTTCTCCACTTTGCCCCAAAGCATACACATTTTCACTTTCAGGCAATGACAGCAAGGTAACAATCAAGCACATGTTATCCATTTATTGGTTCCTAAATATCAATGAGACATAATAGCCCTGGTTAATGATATCTTAAGGAAGCTTGTTATTTACCTGGTTTAAATAGCTTTTTTTTACCAGAAAGACACTGCTATCGAATAATCCTGCAATTCTATTATGCATAATGTGATATTTGGCATACAGGATTAAAAGGAATATTCTATGTCGCTACGAAACAACGAGCTGGTATGTGTCTTTCAAAGTTTGTGCTTCACTGTAAACAACGGATCAGCATAATCTTTTTATTTTCTAGGGTTCTTCTGGCAGCTATTCATTTCAATGAAAATACTGGCAGACAGCAATTGGAAACAAAGGATGGGGAGAAAAGATGGCAAATATCATATATAAAGTACAAACAAACTGGTGTGGTTAAACCAATTAAGTCAAAAAGCACATATGGTTAGTCTTTCTTGTTGGCAGTGCCTAAAAATAATCATCTTATCCTTTTTACCTGCTCATTTGATTTGATGTGTCATTTTCAAACTTTTTAGAGTATGCAAAGATCATTATGGAGAAGGCAGTTGAAAGAAGAAAAGAGCTAATGACATATGCACAAGCAGGTGATTGTCATGACTTGATCAAAAGTCCAGATCCTCTTTCTGCTGGCCATAAAAAGGTATCAAAGCCAGAGCTTGTGAGTCAGCATATCTCCCGTTTTTCAAAGACATCTTGTGCAGGGCATACAGAGGAACAAAACAACCAAGTTCAAAACAAAAAACCTCTACATAGAAAAAGAAAAAAGGCAAATAATGCAAATGCTAGAGAAGTAAAGAAATTAAAAATTTAGGGATTTTTCGGTAATGATATAGAAATGTATATCTAGATGATGTAGAAATGTATATTCGGTAACAAGGGAACACAATTATTACTATTTTCATATGAAAAAACCCTACAGGAAGAAAACTATATATATCCAAATGGAAATATAATGTAATGTATGTGGTCCAAGGCTAATACACATATACTCAAAATATGCTGCTTTATTTACCTGATATAATCAGTGATCAATTCCAAATAACTTGAACCCCGTATATGTTTCAGATGGAAACTTGGCTCTAATCTTTGCCACCGAACAAGAAGGAATGACTTTCCTTACATGCTTTCCTAGCCGCCGCCAAATCCACCTGACAAACTGGCGATAAGCTACATGCCTAAAAAGTCTGGAAAGCAACAAAAAAATAAGATACTGGCATAAATCAAGATAACAGTTTAATATGGAAATGCTAGGAGGGGGCTTGGTCTAAAAGTTTTCATAAAAACCCCTAGAAGAAAATATCTGCAAAAATCACAATCCAAAGAAAAAAAATCTGCCAAACATGCATCAAAAATTTTAATGCGACTGGGTTCATTGGAGACGCGAGTCAGCTTTTCAAAAAAGCAGGTCCAAAACTGATCATTCAGATTGTTTTACTCAATATTGTTTCGCAAAGTTATTAAAACACTTTCTCCATAACGAAAAAAATGAGAAAATTTAAGACCCAGAAATCATAAAAACTTACTCAAAAGCGGGAGTATCGTCGACATAGCCTCCCACCTCACCCACATACTGATAAATCGCATCCTCTACGACATGATGATCAAGGCATAGTGACTTGAAGCCATCGTGGTCTGTTATGCATGTAAGTCTTCCGGTTCGTTTTTTTACTTCGACTATCTCCAAGCAGCAGACACTCTCCCTTCCTTTTCGCATTGGCAAACATTTGCCACACTGACACCTGAATCAGTCAGGAAAGCATGGGTTTACTGTTTCGGCAGGTAGACACTATCATTCAAGGCAAGTCTCTATATTTTGTACAAATAGCGATCTTCAATATTGTAGTGTCTCGTGATTATCTTAGTTAACAAAAATTTGCATTTACTGATGGTAATACTAGCTCAGCTTTTAAAAGCAGAAGTAAAAATCTAATTACCATTCTGTGTGTCCTATCCTATCGGTATTTACATCATCCTCATCCTCCATATCCT